ACCAGCAACAGCAGATGTACCAGGGCCACAGAGACCTGAGCACCTTCACAACACTCAGCCACTTTTTGTATCAGTTACATGAACTTTATTTATACGTAATAAACACATTATTATTCTTAAAAGTTGTAATTTTCATTTAAATAACACCCTGGATCTGGATCAGATATTGGCACGCAACAATATGTAGAAAAACCTATTTTCATCAGGCTACAGTGTATTCTGTAACTAGAAAGAGTATAGTTTAAAGTAATGAAGTAAATTTTGTTATGATGTTATAAAGAATATGTTTTACTGTTTGAGTGCAAATATTTTTAATTGTATTAACGTTAATTAATGAGTAATATAAATCTTATTCAAATTTTAACATCACAGTGACATATTAATATAAAATAAAAATAAAAATAATACATACTTATTTTTAAATTGATCTTTAAATCCTGTTAATATTATACCAGGAAATTTGGGATCAAGTTTTAGAAATGAATGTAGTGATGACGGTGGTATAGATGTGCTTTTCGATTCAGTAACAAAAAACCCATCATCAGAAAGACTCTTATTTATTGTATTTATAAAATTTTTAACGTCATCACTAGCCTAAAATAAAATAACAATATTAAATAATTCTTAAATTTTAATGTACAGGTGACCGATGAGAACTTAAAATTTTTCAGGTATTAACTAGAATCAAAAGAACAAATACCACCTATTTAACATAATCTTTTACAATTGACAAATATTTCAAATGACATGTAATTTCAAACAACTGAATATTCAATTTCAATTTTCAATAAAAAAAATAACTGAGTATTATTCATTTCTAAAATGTTATGTGCCCATCGGTCATACTATATAATAAATATTTAATACGTACATTATGTTTCATTGAGCGATAAAAAACCACTTCTTTATCATAATGTATTTGCGATAGTTCTACAAACATGCCAATATGGCTTTTATTGAGTTTAATTAAATCATTTGGAAAATTTCCATCTAACATATCATAAACCACTCGACTTGATCCAATATAATCATAAGCTTCTCCATTAAATAAAATAAACATTACATTCCGAGCTAAAAATGTCAATATATGTTTAAAATTAAAATTAAGTAGTTTTTATTTTTTGGTAAATGGATCACATAATAAACCTAACTATTTGTGATTCATTAAGATAAAAAAATAGTCATCATACATTTTTAATTTGAATTAAGCAATTCAACTTAGTAACATTAAAAAAAAATTAAATTAAAGAACTTACAGAAGTTGCTGGCATCTTTGTATGAAAGCATTTCTGAAATCAAATTAGCTGTAGTCATTAATGTCACAATAGATGTAGCTGTTGATAGAGCACCAGGAGCTAAATCTTGAAACATAGATGTAGCATCTAATCGTGCAGCAACAATAGCAATAGATTGATTTGGTGTATTTGGACGTAGTTCTTTTAGAGACCAATATACATTCTTATCACCCAATGGATCACAAAATTTAACTAAACAAATTTAAAATATTAATAATTTATTACAACATATTGATATAATAGCCTAAATACAAGCTGTCTCTTTACTTAGTCAAACAGACTTGATCTTTTTGGATATGACAAAAATATATGCAGTGTCTCTCAAAACACGATACTACCAGATGATAAAACTAGGCATAATAAACCTAGTTTAGGTCACACCAATAAAGATAAAAAATAATATAAATCATAACAGCAACTATTTACTTGGTCTTATATTTTGATATGACATCATTGTCCGTCTCAAACACGTTTTGGAATCTACAGCAGCATACATATGAGACTTCAATTCCAGAGCACATAAAGATTGATCATTTTGATTATTCAAAGGTAAATTATAATTTTTAAAACACTGGAAAATTAAAATATTATTGTTATTAATTTATCATTAACATTGTAACTAATATATTAAATTAATTAAAGACTCAAATTCATAATAATAATATTAATTAATTTAAAAAAAAAAAAAAATTAAGTTCAGCAATTTTGATTAAACAGAAATCACTATAAAAATATGTAATTTAATTTTAGTTTATGTTATGAAACAATTATTAAGACTTTTCTATTGGTGGCTATAAAATTGTATGGTATTGGTAATTACAAACAGTAACGGTATCTTATATGCACTAAGCAAAAATGTCATCAAGAAAATTATTTAAAAATTTAAATTTTGTATTTTAATAACAAATATTCCAACTAAATAATAATAGAGAGTAATTTTTTTAAACTTCTTCATGTTTAGATTTATAATTGAACTCTTTCAGAGAATATAATAAACCATAATTAAAAAGAGCTATTATAATACATCAATAAGGTAGCACATATTATGTATTTAAATTATCACCAATAAAATTTTATATTAAGCTAAAAGAAATTACTAGGTTATAGTCCCTCCTTCCCCAAGAATGTTTAATTAATTTCATCCTTTGACTTTTAATTAAAATATAGATTTTAAATTTAATGTTTTCTCAAAAAAGTAAAAAATGAGTGTATAATAAATAAAAATTAACCTAATATATCACTTTTAATTATTTATTTATTATATACTAAGTCTCTATCGAAATAAACATATTTTAATCTTTATGCTAATAATTTTTAAAGTAAAAAATTGATTATTCTTACATTTATAATACTTTTGATAGTGTTTTGATCGTAAACAACAAATATGGGAAAACTCCAACTTTTTAAAAGAATATCAGTACCATATGGGTTCCATGGTTTTATTGGACAACTGTTAACATCTGAATAACGGTTAGGACATGTATCTTCTGGGCTAAATCCATTATTTTGTAAATTATCATTATTTATTACTTCTTGTTCTGTACCATTCATTAGTAACATTATACCATTTACTTTAGTACTCAATTCAATATTTTGTAAAACCTCTCTGCAAATCAAGAATTTTTTTAAATTACGTAGAACATAAATATGTTTCTAATCTTAAAATAATTTAAAAAAATCTTTAAATGCAATTATTAATTAGAACATACATTGAAAACAATAAATAGAGTTTGAAATCAAATATTTTTAAAATATTATTAATTAAAATAAAAATATAAACAAATATTACCTATTAAACATCTTTGGTGTTAATGCTACAGTATAAGGATCAGCCTTTCCTTTATTAAATAACCATTCTAAATCAGTCGAATTTGATACCAAATGTAAAGTTCCAACATTTCCAAATCTTGCAGCTTTAAAATTAAAAAATTAACAAAGAAAAATTGTTATCTATATCTAAAAGAGAACTTACAAGTACATCCAAATTGATTTGTTCCATTTAGCCTAAGAAAACATGGGTTATTCGCTATGATGTTTTCATACATTTGATCTTTGACAGAAAGACAATTTAATAGTGCTAAAAAAATAGATATCATAAAATACAATGTATATTAATAATATTATTGAATGAACTTACTATAAGTCACACAATGCAAACATACAAATAAAATATAACGTACACTAATCATTTTGTTTATTTTAGAATAACAGAAGAAGATAAAAAAAAAAATACCTAGTTATATTAATAAATGTTTAAACAATAATAAATGTAAACTACATTTTTGTTTTTTTAAAAATCCATCAACAATTTAACATTTCAATTTATATTTTCCAAATGTATGATTACAATTATTAACAATTTTTTCCACTCTTATGATAGTAATAATTGTTACTGATATTGATATAAAATTAAACATAACCTAAAATAATATAATTTTAAATATTATGGTATTCTATTTTTTCTTTTATACAATTTACTCTGTGGTTAGATTAGGTAGATTGTGAAGAGAAAAAGAACTATAAAACTGTGATATGCGTGAGAGAGAAAGAACCATAAGAGATTTTTTCATGGAATGGTTAATAAAACTGTTTTTTTTCAGTTGAATTGTAGAATACTGTATTATTAATATTTATTACAAAATATAAATACAGATAGATATTAGGTATGAAATGCATGAATATTTAAATATTTTTTCAAAATTTTAAATTTATTAGTTTTTTTTTTCTATACAAAAATTCGATACTTTGGACCATGGTCCATGACCATTGACCACAAACATATAAAAATATTGTGTTCTAAATATTTGAATTTTAAATTTTTATATATCTGTGACCATGATAAGGTGTCAATTTTCTTTGAATTTCTTAATATCCATTTTACATTGAAAAATAAAAATTATCTACTATCTTTAAACATATGCTTGTACTGGTGATATAGAATTAAAATAACATGTGAACATGAACAATTTAACTATAAAATAATATAATAAGCTTTATCAACTATAAAGAAGAAAAAAAATTAATTATCGGTATCTTCCTTAACTATGAAAATAGCCATATCTGTAGTTTTTAAGGTCTGAAATTAAATGACTCCCAGTCGTATAGAATATGTCTTATTATATTTATATAGGCATTAAGTTGTAGTAGTCCTTTTATTTATTAAAATTTTAAATCCGACATGTTATATAATGTACATTAGTATTAATAATGTAAATATATTTTTAAGGTGTAGACATAAATTAAATATGAACAAATAACAATTGTATCAAGGACCAAGTTTAATCTACGTTCTATCCATTGTCTACGGAGCCATAAAAATATATTTTTATAAATCTGTAGGATCACTATGATCCATGTGACCACATGATACCACTTAACAATTTGAAATGATTTTGAACTATAAACATTTATTACAATGCAGTCATTCAGTGCCATAAACTAGTTTATAACAAATACAAAACCTTATAAAAAAGTGAAAAAACTCTAATTAACTAATTAGGAACCTAAACCTAATTAAGTGGTTTGTGCTTAAATATTAAATAATATAGGCTTCAGTAAATAATAAGTATAATTTAAAGTCTTAAACTCTTAATACTTTCAACTTTGATTGTTTGATTGTATAATATTTAATTTATGACGTTATATTTGTAGTTTGTGTTCTACACCAGCTGTTCGCACAATTTGCTATCAACTATCAATATTTGAAGTGATAAAAAAAAAAGAAATTATAAAGTCAAATCACTAATCAGCATTTGTCAATTGCTGCAATCTTAAGTTTAATGATGAATATTGAGTTATCGAAAAAGAACTTGTTCTCGAATCGATAAAAATTAAATTTAAAGTATCATGTAGAATTCTACAAGTATTTGTGCCGTATCGTCACAATGAATACAATATAGTACACGATTTAACTTGCAGTTTTTCAGTACTTCGATCGAATGAAAAACTGTTCTAGTCAAATATGAATTTTACAAATAGACTGATTTGGTTCCTACAGGTAACTATAAAAGTAACTGTTATTTTAATTTATTATATTGTTTATTTATTGATACTACATCTCTAATTATTGTTTTTAAACTAAAGAAGCTTTAGATTTTTTATTGTTTTTTTTTTATGTATTTACTTAATATTTAGTTTTTTTATATTAAAACTTTAATATTTATTACTACAGATTTCAGATTTACATCTTAGCATTTTTCATGATTGGGAACGAGTAACCGAGTTCAAAGAATTTTGTGAATTAACTTTGGATACCATTAAGCCTGTAGCTGTATTAGCAAGTGGTATGTTTTCTTAATAATTTATATATTTTTTAAAGTATGGATGGGTCAAATTGAAGTTAATTTTTTTTTTCTTAAATTTAAAAATTTAAAAAAAACAATCTTTATGTTTATAGATTTTTAATATATAATAGTATCTAAACAGTGTCTACACTTAGTAAAAAGATTGTTAAAATTAATTTGCCATCATACTCATTTTGATTTCGATAGTGCTCAAACTATTTGAATTCAAATTAAATTGAATAGGCTTAAGAAATATTCACAATATATCAATAAAACATGATATATTTACTAAAATTTTAGAAATGTTGTTTAGTTGGGTCTCTACAATTCTGTTTGAAATACATTTGTCTAGCCTTCCTTAAGTAAAAAATTGAAATTGTGCCTATGTTGAGGTATTTAAGTTCAAAAAATTCAAGGACCCATTCTTAATTAAAGTATATTATGAACCAAAATTGGATTTTTACCATAGAATATATTTTATGATTTTTACTTACCAGTTGAAGAACACCATTCCATAAAATTTACTATGTTGAAGTTGGTTAGAGCTTTGATATTTATATTAATAATTCTAACGACACATACATTTTCTTCTATAAAATAAATATTTGTTAAGTATAAAATAGAAAATTATATTTATGATAAAAAATCAGAATATTATAACAGATAGTATTATTTTCTTCATAACTAAAATTACAACACTTTAAAACTATATTTAAATATTTTACAAAATTCTAAAACAATATTCAGAACTTAATTAATAATGTTGAGTTTAGTTATTTATTAAACAATTAAATATGCTTTGATTTAAAACCATAAAAGTAATGGGTTTAGCTTTTTTGAGTTCTAGATTTTTATTTTTATTTAGCCATTTTATGAGATATTTGAATTTACATTAATAACTTTACAATTATCTAAGTCCTATATTTAAATAATTAATCTTCATTTCTAACTTTATTACTTAAATTTTTGCAATAAATAAAGACATTATTTTATATTATGTATGTACCATATGTCAATTCAAGTAATATTAAATACTAAATCTAATAAAGAATTATTCTAGGAGATCTAACTGATGCAAAAAAAAAAGATGGTATTGGATCAACACAGTATGAAGGAGAATGGTTAGCGTACCACAATGTATTGACATCTGGGAAAGTATCTGAAAAAACTAAATGGTTGGATATTCGTGGAAATCATGGTAAAATTTTTAAAATATTAATAAGTATATTTTAATTATTATAATATAATTAATACATGTAATTCAATTTATATTTTTAGATAGTTTTGATGTAAACAATTTAGATTCTCCAAAAAATTTTTACCGTAAATATTCTGAACAAGGCCAGTCTCACCCTCGATCGTACAAATACAAAGTTACAAATCATGCCGGAATGAGTCTTAATATGATTGCGGTTGATGCCTGCTTGGATCCTGGACCAAAAAGACCATTTAATTTTATTGGAAACTTGGACGAATATGAAATACTTCAATTGCAATCTTTAGCAAATAATACCAAAGATCCTATTGTTTGGTTTGGTCACTATCCAACTTCATGCATACTTACAACAGGAAGTAAAACTGTAAAATCCACGAATAAATTACATTATTGATGTAATTATTTTATTCTAATTTCTTGCTTTTAGGTAAGGTTAATTATAGGTGAAAATCCAATGTCTATTGTATACTTATGTGGCCATTTACATACATTAGGTGGTTTGGTGCCACAAATGTATACAATGCAAAATGAAGGATTTGCAGAGTTAGAATTAGCTGATTGGAAAGATGGTAGAATGTAAGTAGAATGTAGATTAAATGTAAAATTGATTATTAATTTTACAGTTATGTTTATTTGTAGGTTTCGATTATTAGCATTTGATCAAGGTTCATTTGCATTTATTGACATACGCCATGGTCAATGGCCAATTATATTAGTCACTAATCCAAAAACACCATGGCTTACTATACGAGATATGGAAACTGAAGAAGATCGAAAGGCAAATATTAAATATATAAGGTTATTGAAGATTTAATTTTTTTTTTTTTTTTTAACAAGCTCGAAAAACCCATTTTTTCTTTTAAATAATAATTTATTAAAAATCCAATGTTGACCAATTCACTTGGCCATTTTAAATTTCTTTATTGTATTACTTAAACAATGAAAATTTGACTTTTCCTTACATTTAATTGAATATACTTTAAATCTTAATAAAACTTATTTTTAGTTCTAAATGTAATTAATAACTTTTGTTTACTTATTTTAGAATATTAACTTTTTCGGTTGATCCTATTAAACATGTATTAATACAAATTGATATGGAATATAAATGGAGAAATTGTAGTAATGTGGAGGGTAGTCCTCTTTATATAACTGAATGGGATAATAATGCATATTCAAGTGGATTGCATACATTAAAGGTAAGTAATTAAATTAAATTAATTGAATATTAATAAGTAAAATTTATTTTGCTGTCATTTAATGACAATTCTTATTGAGTTTAAAAAATAAAATGTTACATTAATTATAAACACAACTCATATAACTTATGTATGAAGTGTGTTATATATTTTTTGTAAGTTACACATGTTTATAGTTGATCATCTAAAGCAAAAATAAATTATTGCTTTATTATTTTATTACTTATCTTAAGCAATAATAAATAAAATTAAAGTTCTTAACTAACTAAAAAGTAATTTTCTTCCTTCTTTAAACTAGGATAAATTAATTGGTCTATTAAAATTGTAACAGTGACTCCTAAGTCTTAAATCATATTTTTAATAAATAATAATATTTGAAATATTAAATATGTATACTACTTGGGATTTTTTAAACTTGTATGCAGGTTAGAGTGGAAGATATTCAAGGGCGTAAACATGAAATTAACCATCCTTTTTCTTTAGACAATTCTAAACCAGCACTAAAATTATTTTCACAATGGCCACTTAGTGTTTATTTTCCTGATGTGGTAAGTATTAATGTCTTATTTGCATTATAATAGTCTTAATTGGTCATAATAGAGTAAATTTAGATCTTTATAATTATATATCATAAATACCATGTCTTACAACTTTAAAATACTTATTATTATTAAACTTAACTAATTATTATGTAAATTATATTGTATTAAATCATACTTGGGCTGGAATCCTAATATTCTTAAAAAGTACTAAAAATGTATGTAATTATTCACTTCAAAATATAAATGTTTTTTAAAACTATTAAATGTTATAGAATTAATATTCTTAAAAAAGTTAAATTAATTATATGTGCCTTTATAATTACAATAAATACATATCATAATTAAACACATGTATAATATATTTTTACAAATTAGAGATAAAACATTATAATAACATAAAGCGCGTAATTATAAATAGTAAAATCTTAGATCTCAAAATAAATATATATGTATTTTAATTTACAAATTTTTGTATTATATCATCATTAATCATAAAATATACTTTAAAAGTTTTTAAAATTTAAAAATATGTAATTAGCCTATGAAAAAAAAGAAATAGAAAGTTATGGGTCAATTATATGCACTACAAAAATGATATACATCTTATATCCAATTCAAGTATTAACACATTTTTAGCATAAAATTTATTAACAATATATTAGTATACCTTTGTAAAGTCCTATCTAATACATATTATTTATCTTGGGTTCATCTAGGTTAAAAATGTACACAACAAACTTAATAAAAATAAATTTAAAAAAAAACCATTAACCTTAAAGTATTTAACTAAAGAATGAGGTACATGTCTTTAAATGGCATGTTTTTGAATGACAAGTGTTAGAAAAATTATATGAACGAAATAATATATTAAATATCATAAGTTGTATCATGAGAGCATATGAGTTGGAACTAGCTTATTTGCGTTGCCCAGGAGACACCACATGGATGTTAGCTAGAATATCTCCCAAAAATTGTGTTTTTTGTTACGTTAAGATATTAGATTAATTTTAAATAATAAAAATATTATTGGTGTATCAGCTAAGATTGCACTGGTAATAATTGTTCTACATCTAATCTGATGACTCCGATATAGTCTAATTTGCAATGTCATGGCTGTTGACTCTTACCAGAAAAAGAAAGATAATTGAACTTTGGCTAATTTTTCGACTTTTGATATAAGGTATATCTATAGGCGAATATCATCACACCATGGGGGCTGTTGACAAAATCTTTTTTTTTATTTTAATTTTATTAATTTTGAAAATATTAAATAGCTATTTTTAATTAAATAATTTTTGTACTTACATATAATTTTTCAAACATATATCTATTCGAATAAATAATTTTTTGATTACATTACTACTCAAACAAATAACTTTTCCAACACTTCTCATTCAAAAACATAACCTTCAAACACATGATCCGTATCGTTAACTAAACCAACTAAGCTATATCAAACAAATTTCAAAATACAATATTTATTAGTAATTAATTTATCCATCAATGATAAACAATATTCAAACAAAATGTTTCATATGAATAACCATCTGAATCTACTAATATCAGTTACGACATTTTTAATATTTATATAATATTTAAAAACAATCTATTTAATAATATATAAATATTAAACTTATTTCCATACTAATAAAGTAAAAATAAGTTAACAATAAGTATGCCATTTTCGGATCCTGGTCACGGCACACTATATTTTTATTTAATTGTTGAGCTAAATTAGTTGTAACTTAAAGCTATAACAAAAAAAAAAAAAAAAGTATGCCATTGGGATGAGTATTATAAAATTTAATTTTAAAGCCATAATGTTTATCATAATCATTTAACAATGATTTTATTGTTTATCCATTAATTATTAATGAAGTCCCCTTAATGAAAAATACACATAATATTAATATTTTTGATTTAAGGCAATCATATTATAAGAACAACTTTCTTTAGGATTTGTATACAAATTATACTAATTTTTTATTTGTTAATAATTTAAAATATTAATGAGATGAATTCTAATATGACCAAAATACAATTTTTGCTAGTTTTATCATTATTAAATGCAAGTTGTTTTTGCAGTTACTTCTGATGTTTGTGATTGCATCTTTGGCTAATCTGTTGCCGCTTATAATTTATCGATTTATTAGCAAATGCACAAAGTGTAAGTGGTTTTTGTCTCAAACTAATGCCTAGCTAAGCATCTCTAATATTTTTAAATTTAATATAAGTAACTCAGCTCATAAAAATTAATATCAGAACATAGCATTATATCTACATACACTTACTCTCATTTACTTACAATTTACAAATTTTTGTATTTACAAGAAATATTCTTTCAATTTATTTTTAGATAAAAAACATTTATCATGAAAATGAAAGAGAACATTTTTGATTTGATTTTTGTTTAAATGTCATACAGCCTACATAATTTAAGTTTTTGTGAAAATAATTTATCTCTATTAAGTATATCCAGCTTTATTTTTTCAAGGTATTATTCAACACAACAGTTGAACTTCAAAGTATTGTCTTCTATAATTTTAGGAATAAAAACTTTTGATTGCAATCAATTTTTATTTTATATTTAATAAAAAAAATTTTTCTCAATATATACAAAATATTTGATATAATAAGCAAGTATCATTACAATAAGGAAAGTCAATTAGAAAGATACTTCTAGGAAATACAAAAGTGAGTACAATTCAGTAATGTCAAATGTAGAATTATTATGATAGGTATTACCAATTTCTTATAATCTATTGAATGTACTACTGAATACTAACATATTTTGTAATTACATTGATTTAATAAATTAGAAATCCTTTGTTTGGATTCAGATACCAGATACAGAGTTCTTTTCTCACTTTAACAAAATATTTTGGCGTGTTATAATTAAATAACGTATAATTAAACAGTCTTAAAATATTCTACTTATACTTTAGTGATTGTACCGTACTTTTTAATATTTCTTCTAAATATTTTAATTGTTTTTTACTATAATGTTATTATAAACTGAGTTTAAAATTAGTTTTGTGATAATAATTTAAAAACAATTTTAAGAAATAATAATATATGTATCTTTTAATAGGTAGAATCAGCTATAATACAAAATTGTCACCGATCATGAGATACTCAAGAAAAATGATTTTATTGTCAAGTGTGAATCGTATATTTTACACGTTGCTTTTATTTTACATTTATTTGTGTTTAGGTAATTAATTAATTAATAACTATAAATAATAAATTATATATCTTATTTAATTGTTTTGTTTTTGGGTTAGGTCCTTGGGCTGTTGGAGAACTTGTAACTGACTTTATAGGTTGGGTTTTTCCTTGGGGTATATATGTCAAGGGAAAACTTATAAAGGATTCTTTTATATATGCATATGGTTTTGGACAAGTAAGTTCATTGAAACCTTATCAATGCCTTAAATTATTTAAATTTATAATTTATTTATTAATTATTATTGTTTTAGATTTTAACTTTTCAATTGCCTCTTAATTTTATACTTGGTCACCGACTTGATAAAAGGTACACATACACTATTGAATTGTAAAATTGCTATCTTACAAATTAATGAAAATAATTAAATTATTGTTATAGAATGCAATCATTGCCAAATATCCAGTACACTTTAGTTACCTCACCATATATTTATGTGGATATGATTTTTTTCTTTCTTATAATTTGGCAAATTGTGTGTTGTCTATGGTTTTTTGGAGCATATGGTTGGATAGCTACTATATTTGGCCCATTAAAAACATGGTCAATATTTATTGCACTTTGGCTTTGGAATGAAACACGAAGAATTACTACAAATGAGATACGATATGCAACAGGTAATTGTAGGTTACCTCAGACAACTGATTAAAATAACTTATATTAGTATACCCATTTGTAGTTTTATAGTTCATATTTTGCATGATTATAAAATTAAAAATTTAACAATATTAATATTTTTTTTATTTTTTATATGTTCATTGAAAACAGGAGTAATGGAAAAACTAAATACAAATTAAAAATTGTATAATTGTTTATTTCACAATTTCGTAAAAATACATTATTGTTAATAGAATATTGTTGATGTCCTATATTGACATTAGTCAACATTATTTAATGATCTTTATAATTTAATTTACTACTAATTATATAAATATATTTATAATGTATCAATACAATATTATATTTATTTTAATAATAAACCCACACATATAATTATAAATACATTTATACATCATTTAATTTTTGACAAGTATTATTTAATATTAATTTACTAAAATTATTGTATTTTAATTTTCAAATTCAATTTATATTTTTCAAAAAATTGTGAGCCCTATTAATCTATAGATACCAAAATACTAAAAATAAGTTATTTTACAATTTTTGTTTTTTTTTCCTAATAATTTTAAGCAAATAGTTTAGAAATTATTTTTTAGTAATGTAAGTAAGTGTTAAATTGTTTTTTTTCGAGTGATATTAATTTTTAAAATAAAATGTTAGTAGAACTTGCGGTTTTATAAAAAATAATTTTTTTAGCTAAATATATTGTAAATTAGGATATAAATATTTCAGAATTGAAAGATATTCATTTATCAACTAATTTAGAAAGTTTCAAAATAGTTGTATTTATTGTAATTTAGTTCATTCAAAATTTTTCAGTGACAAAACAAATTAACTTGTGATCATTACTAACTACTGTAAAGTCCTGGTTATTATGTTTATTTGTATTTTTTTTGGTATACTAAATACTATATACATCTATTAAATCTAATATGATAACTACCATTTATTATAATATAATCAAGTAAAAATAAAATGTTGTTATGCATAATAATAAAAGTGATAGAATCTTGCAGGACAGATCAAATACCTAACTGTTATTTGTGTTTAAATTAATGAAATTAAATTTGAATTGAAATTAATTTATGTGTACATATAGCACAAATCTAAAGTGGCATTCTCCTTCAATTGCTTGTATTTATTTGATTACTCTTTTTTATGTATGGGAAAAATAATCGCTGTTTTCCAGTCTCTTGGATCAAACTTTGTTGTTTACTGAAAAAAATAAGTACCTACCTATTAGTATTTAGACTAAACGTCATTAGTTAAAAAAATTTAACTTTGTTTTAACATAAGTAATTACAAGCGTTATACTATAAGGAAAGTAGATAGTGTCTCAAAATTGTTATAACAAAGTAATGTTGATCTTCATATAGCTACAGAACTTCTACAAACATTAATGAGTAAATTAAAAATTAAAGGAGAAAATGTTTTGGAATTTTTTACAGAAGCTTCAAATATTTTGAATAAACGGGGCATAGCACCAACATTTAAAAATCAAAGACATACTAAAAAAATTTTTTTTGATAAGATTTATAAAGACTAAAAGTTAGAATCACCTGAAAAAAAGTTAGAAATTTAAATATTTAGTATAAAAATTAATCGTAGTATTACCGAAATGGAACAAACATTTCAAAGTTTTAATTACATATTTTACTTCTTTAAATGCTTATAACTGATTCATTAATTAAATTGAATGATAAAGAATTATACAAGTCAGCAGATACATTACAAAAAAAGCATAACCAAGATATTTCTCCAGATTTTGTTCATCTGATACAATCTTTTTGATCATGTTTTAAAGACATAATATTGATCAAATTAATATCAATAAAATAAATTGCAAAAATGTTGTTTAATAAACATACTCCTCTTACAAACGACATGGGTACCCTGATATATGCACTGCTTTTATGTTATACTTGATGTTACCAGCTTTAACTGTTGTGGCAGCAGAGTGATCGTTCTCAAAATTAAAAATAATAAAAAGATTATTTACAAAGTATAATGTCAGAGGAACGACCAAGTGGTTTATCAATTATTTCTATCGAAAATAAGTGAGCACAACAATTAAATTTGGATGAAGTCATTGACAAATTTGCTAAAGTGAAGACTAGGAAAGTTAATTTTTTAATTATATGTTATAACACTATTTTAATGCCATTGTTTTTATAAATTTATAAGCAGTATAATATACAGGTACCTCATTACATCATTTTTTTTTTTTATCTCATAGAATCACTGTTTAATTTTCTCTTTAAAGAGAGTCTCCAACTAGGATAGGCTCCTGGGCTAACAAGTTTCACGCTACGTCACTGTTTTGAATGACATATGATACAAATAATTTTTCTGATTGATGTTGATAAATGTAAACTTATGCGTATTAATATTTTGTCTGTCTACCTGCCAACTCAAAGATATATGCTACAACTAAATAGTGTTAATAAACAATTCAGTTTATAAGGTTTATTTCAAACAACTGATCTTAAATATTGACGAGGTAAATACATTATTGCAGAGAATAAGTTTTATATAAAAATGTACCGTGCGTATGAAAAAACTAAACTGTCCTAGGACCTGTTCGCGGTGTTGGCGGTTCAGACGTTCCAAGTGTTCCGACGCCGTTGTCGTGTGTCGGTGTCGTCCGTCGTCGGCTAGAGGTTGGATAGAAAAGTGATTCCGCGGTTTTCCACGTAAAAGCCGTTTAAATTCAAATGGATATTACGGGGGACCGCGTCTGGGCAAAGTATAATAACCCACCACCGTTCACCACCTACTAACTTTGAGTAAAATAATGATCGACCATATTATTATATTGAAAATACATCCATCACAAAGCCGCTCGCTTCGCTCGAAATTTATCACTTTTATAGGCTTATTAATATTAAACTATTAAGTACGAATTAGTAAATTATTATTATTTCTTACATATCTCCAAAAGTTTATTTTTATCCATTTACAAGTGTCAAGTAACGGTCTCTTATGATTATTAGATTAAATATTTCTAATCTATCGCATTATAATACATTCAAACCTCAACCCTTAACACACTGATACATATAAAATATCAATGTTACAAGCTACAAATATTGTTAAACTTACATTTTTAATATTCCTAACACTTTCTTTTTGGTATTTTTTTTTATTTTTGTCAATAAGTATTTTTCATTAAAAATCAGAGTATTCAGAAATACAACTTGATATTAGTAGTATCACTAGATAGTATCTAAAAAAAAAAATAACTAATAAAAAATTAAGACAGCAATAATTACTATCACAATATATATATTATTCTTAAAAGAAGCTTTATTGTTTTAAATTATATTCTACAGTATCCTACCATCTACTGACATTGATATTATAATACAGATACTGTAATATTGAATATATAGTATAATCAATGCTACTGATCCTAAAAATTGAAAATAAACAATACTGTTATTTTATTAATATAATTGTCAATTTTACTTAGATCTATGAATAAAATGTCTAAATAAGAGTTATTAGGTTAAATATGTTAAAATAATAAAAATAAAATGTGATACATAACATAATATACTGCATGTCAAATATCTCACGCAGTCATTACTATTTTGACATTGTATAAGAAACTTATATTTTTCTTTTAGATTGTAGGTAAAAACCATAGAGTAATACTCTATGGTAAAAACACACTTGCGTTTACGTATTTTATGAAGACGTAGTACCACGACTTAACAAAACTATAATATTTTATATTTCAAGCAAAATATAACTACTCGTAAGTACATAAAAAACAAATGACAACCATCTCTTTACACGCACAACTGTCGACTGTCGAGTGCAGACATGCAAAGTGATTAATACGAGTCGAGAACTAATCAACACACATCAACACACAAATATATAAAACAATGATTTAGTAGGATAATCCTACTAGGATTTAGTATTTATAGATAGATAATACTTTAAACTTTTATTTCATGGCAACAATAATAATGAGTAATATTGCTTATCGTGACGTTCCGATACCAAGTATGAACATAAATAGAAATTATATATTGTACATTTATACAGAATGAACACGAAAATCTGTTACCTGATATAACTTTTTGTATCGATATAACCATGTAAAAATAATTATTTTACTATTATTAAAATTTTTTTGCAAATTAATTAATAAGTTTAAAAATATTTAATAAAATAAAAGCTTGTAAAGTATGAATGACTGACATTAACTGGTTTAAATTTCCATAGTATTGTATATATTTATTTCTTTTGATTTTTTAGGCCGTTTTTAAAATGAGATTGATAAATTTTTTTATAAATATTCCTTTTAAACCAATTTCACATACCTATTACCTGTCTTAAATCTTTTATTTTAAGAATGGATATTAAAGTTATGCTTGGCTTCCTTTAAAAGCACGATACATACTTATAAGTAAACACAATTGAGTCGTGATTGATAGATGTATTGAGGAGGCTTTCATTGATGGTTGGACTTTTGACGACTCCTTATAAATTATTAATTTACCAGTTAATAAACGCACAAGTATATTATTTTTTTAAAGCAAGGACTCCGATTCTACGTCTCTTCTCAATTCAAATTTCAATCACTGATTCACTATTCAGAGATATACTTATCTATGTACTGATTAGTGATTAGTGATTACAATATTTTACATAAATTGATTGTCAACTGTCGTTTTCCAAACTTCGCTTCTAAAAATGTCATAAAATGAATCACACGATTAAATTGCCACAAGCTGCGTTGCAGTCGCAAGATTGTTATTTTAACCAAACGTTTTAAATTTAAAACGATTTAAAAAGATTTAATGATGTTTAAAGTTTTTTAGAAAATAATTTTTGAATCAGACAATCAGTACCGATTATAAATTTTATATACTATAAAATTACGTAAAAGTGTAGATAGAATGTTTATAATAATATATTAATATATTGTATATTGTATATTATTGTGCCGTCAGCTAGAGTGTATTGTTGGTTGCTTTACTACCCCTTAAAATTTGGACACTCATAATATTCTTATCATTAAGCAAAGCTCTTACTTCTTACTTCTTAGTTCTTAGATCTTAGTGTTCTTACTACAACAAAAAAATAAAAATACTGATTAGTTATTTAGGTCACGGAATGTGTAATTAGCTAGACATTTGTTAAATAGGCAACTGCGTTTTTTTATTTTGTCATGACGTGACGACGTGTTAAACATCAATATTACGTTAATACATTCACATGATCTGCTTTGATACAAAGGTCAATGATAGCATTTATAGCCATTTAGTAGATATCTAACTATACTAATTTTTTTTATTAAAGCACTTTATATTATTACTAATAAATTAGAACAAATTAAAAGCATTGAAATCTATATTCTATGTATAATACTTACATATAATAATATGTAATTATGTAAACTAATCTATTGACTATTTAGATATACTAATATAATATTGACTATTGAACATCAAAGGTAATGCTATTTAGTAGTTCATAGTTATTGTTAATTGTCTTTACTTAAAATACTTTTGTGTATGTATATACATAATACATATATACATATATATATTAAGAGCAGTTTAAGTTAGTATTTATGTAAGTAATATTTTTATTATTAGGTACCTACTAATAAGTAGTTAAACATTTATTGTTAAATATTATCCTGCTCTATTGTAACTTAATTACTTTTGTAGGTACCTACTATAGAATAAAGAATTTGGTTTTTAATTTTTTTTTTATTTCTATACTTATTATTTTTTAGTATTAAATGGAGTCTGCTTCTGCTGAAAATACAAATCGACTTAAGCCACTCAATGAATTAAGTAAATATATAAATATTTTTATTTTTTGTTTTATTTAGATATTTTTATTTTAATATTACAAATAAACTTAGATGTTTCAGTAACTTATAAGATTTTTTTTTTTTTTAAATTGATTTTATAATCATTTGAAATATCTTTAACGTTGACTAAATTGATTATTGACTCAAAACTATACTTCATTTTTATTTGAAAAATTTTCAAATTTGTTTTGATATTTTGTTACTTTGTTTCATAGCTAGTGAAGATCAACTTTTAATATCAATGTGTGCATTGGCTAGAGAAAGAGCGTATGTTCCATACAGCAACTTCAAAGTTGGTGCTGCATTGCGATGTGATGATGGTACCATATTCTCAGGCTGTAATGTAGAAAATGCTTCTTATGGACTTTCAATATGTGCTGAACGTACAGTTATTGTGAAAGCTGTAAGTGAAGGAAAAACAAAATTCACTAAAATTGCAATTGCTGGATTAAATAAAAATCAATTTGTTCCTCCTTGTGGTGCTTGTAGACAAGTATTAAGTGAATTTAATAATCCTAATAATGACATGATTGTTTATTTATATCAACCGAATGGTACTAATGTTGTTGTAACAAGTGTGTCTGAGTTACTTCCATTGAATTTTAAATTTGATATTTAATATAATTAAACAAATTATTAATTACTAAGAAAATATAAATTATTAAGTGTTTTACCTATTATTTAGATTTTTTTTATTAATGACTTCTTGGAAATAAATACTAATTATTTATACTTTTTACCTATTACTACAATTTACTAGTGAAATATTATTCATTATAAAAATGTTAACATTTATATAATTACAGTGTTTTTATATTTTTAATCTATTTATTTTTTTATATATATATATAAATATAAATAATGTGTTTTATAAATGTATAATATCATTGTTTATAAGTATAGTTAATTGTTATGATATGTTTATAACCTACCTATTTTACTTTTGGTAAAATAACCCAATTGTATAAAATCATTGAACTTTTCAGTGGTTTTAATTTTTTTTTTTTTGAATAAAGGTATAGAAAAAATGTATTTGTTTTCATCGAAAATAAAATAACGGTATAATTTATATTCTTAACATTTTTATTCAAATTTTTGAGACCTTTGAAAATAAACAGGTCAACAGTGCTCATCCAAAAGGAAAAAAAAATTAATACTATTATTATTTAAGTCTTAAATATATAATATCTATAAATAAATATTTTTTCATCTATATTTTAAAAATTATATTGTTATTTTTAGTATTGTTACATTGTTGTTGATAAATGTTTACATTATAGTTTGCTCAAAGATTTCTAATTATAAATATTTATAAAATACAAATAAAAATAGTTGCTACTTCGCCACTTAAATAAAACATGCACGATAGTAGTTGAAGAATAAACTCTGTAACAAGCTGGAGTAAGCCTTTTTAAGACAATTACTTCAAGATTAAAATGGGTGGATGAGTAATTGAACACCAGTTGTTAGGTAAATTACTTATGCATTTACATCTTCTATACATTTTAACCTCTTCCAAAAATACCAACAAGATTCAAATTGCTATCAAAAACCATCTTCAAGAGTTGAAGAATTTTTGATCTAAAATATACGTGATAGAAAAAAATACCTAAATAGTTCATTATTAAACTCAGAAACTGAAAAAATATAAACCAAAATTTGTACTATGCATAAGTAGTAGTAGGTAATAAGTAATAACTAATATTTCATATTGTATAGAATATGAGTACTTGAAAACAGCTAAAATAAAATATTTTTTTTACATTTATTTGTTTGGAGGTGATTTTATAATTAATATTTAAAAATTTAAAATTATGATAATTTTAAAAGTTGCGGTTATTGTTTTAATCTTTTATACCATGATTAACAAGATTGGTTAATCATATGTTTTTGTTTATTGTTTTTAGGTTTTACTATAAACAATAATCGAACATACGTCATGATATTTATTTATACAATATCTTTGACATTTTGATAAAAAGTAATTTGATTGTTGATAAGAAAATAAAAAATACAAATGTGTTTATAATATTATTATTATATTATGTTAGTGCAATTGTGCAACAATCTAACATTTTAATGACTTACAATACTTACATAGTTATATTGAAAAGTGAGATATAACTATTCAGTATTGTTGTGTTATTTTTATGATTTATTATATGTTTAGTTTTGGTTAAAAATTAATTTTTAATAACATTAAAAATGTCGGATTACGACAGTGATCAAGTGAGTGATCATGGTGGCAGTGGAAGTGAACCAGAGGTAATAGTCCTAAACAGTAGTTAGAAATAGAATATATTCATCCAACATTGTATTTGCTTTATTTTTAGGAAGATTCAAATCCCCGATATCGTAAACGGGCAATAAGTCGTAGTGCAAGTAGAAGCCATTCTCCAAGTGGATCTGAAGCAGAGGAAAATAATCAGTAATAATTAAAGTTTTGTGATAAACATAGTCTATACTAAATGTGAATTTGATTATTGTTACAGTGAAGAAGTAGCTGATGAGCAAGAACCAGAAGGCGAAGATTTAAATTCAGAAGATGTATGTATTGATGTATTGGTTGTTAATAAACTTAAAATATTATATTGTTTTTTTAGGAATATGATGAAGAAGAAGACGAAGAAGATGACCGCCCAGGCAAGAAGAAAAAGAAAAACGAACGTTTTGGTGGTTTCATTATTGATGAAGCTGATGTAGATGATGAAGTAGAAGAAGATGATGATTGGGAAGATGGAGCTGGCGAATATGGTATCGTTGCTAATGAGGTTGATGAATTAGGACCAACTGCAAGAGAAATTGAAGGACGTAGACGTGGAACTAATCTTTGGGAGTAAGATTTAATTTATAACTGTGTATATTTTAGGTTTAGTATGTATTCTAGAACTTATATTCCTTACTTTGAACCAACAACAATGAAAAATTAGTATTAATATTACTACCCCCATTACTATTTTTTGTTTATTAAATATCAAACAGTTAATGGCCACTCAGTGGTTATAACAAAACTATTCCTTAAATTGATCTAGTAGTATGTACAGATTCATTGTAAATTCTGTTTTCTATGAGTAAGGAAGGAAGGGTGAAACACTTGACCACAAGATTCTTTGTACACAATAAGTTATATTAATAAATTGTTGTTTTAATACATTTTTAGCACTCAAAATGAAGACGAAATTGAAGAATACCTGCGTAAAAAGTATGCAGATGCTTCAGCTACAATAAAACATTTTGGAGATGCTGGAGAAGAACTAGCTGATGAAATTACACAACAAACTCTTTTACCTGGTGTCAAGTAATATTTATAGTATAAGTCTATTAAAAATGTTTTAAATATGAACTTCTGATTAAAGAGACCCAAATTTATGGATGGTTAAATGTCGTATTGGTGAAGAAAAAAATACTGCTTTACTGTTGATGCGGAAGTATATTGCATATCAGTTTACTGAAGATCCATTGAAAATCAAATCAATAGTTTCCCCTGAGGGTGTTAAAGGATACATATACATTGAATCATACAAACAAACCCATGTTAAATCAGCCATTGAAAACGTTAGCAGTCTTAAAATGGGATTTTGGAAACAACAAATGGTCCCTATAAAAGAAATGACAGATGTATTAAAAGTTGTCAAAGTACAAACAGGCCTTAGATCTAAACAATGGGTTAGATTAAAAAGAGGTGAGCTTAATAAACTTATAAGTAATGAATTTATCTGTAATATAATGTTCATCTATATTTTATAATTTTATTTTTGCAGGTCTATACAAAGATGACATTGCTCAGGTAGATTATGTAGACTTGGCACAAAATCACGTACACTTGAAACTATTGCCAAGGATTGATTATACTAGACCACGTGGTGCTCTTAGAGCTTCAATGGTAACCAATATAAAATTTTAAAATTAAAAATTTGTATTGTATATAATATTTATTTGTAGGATCCAGAAGCTTTAAAGAGAAAGAAAAAAAGGCGTCCTGCAGCTAAACCATTTGATCCAGAAGCTATTAGAGCTATTGGTGGTGAAGTTACCAGCGATGGTGACTTTCTAATATTTGAAGGAAATCGATACAGCCGTAAAGGATTTTTATATAAAAACTTCTACATGAATGCAATAACAGCTGATGGAGTCAAACCTACACTGTCAGAACTTGAAAAATTTGAAGAAGCCCCTGAAGGTATAGACATAGAATTACCAGTGTCAAATAAAGATAATTCAGCAAATAGTCAATCTTTAAGTTCTGGTGATAATGTGGAAGTGTGTACTGGAGAGTTAATAAATTTACAAGGAAAAGTGTTATCTATTGATGGAGATATGGTCACTATTATGCCAAAACATGACGATCTTAAAGTAATTTGATAAGTTGTAATGTTAGTTCAGTTTAAATGTATCATTGATTGTTTTAGATGCCTTTGGAATTTATGGCCAACGAATTGCGCAAGTTTTTTAAACAAGGTGATCATGTAAGAGTAGTTGGAGGACGTTATGAGGGTGATACGGGACTCATTGTCCGTGTAGAACAAAATCGAATTGTGTTATTTTCGGACGTTACCATGCATGAACTTGAAGTTCTACCTCGTGATTTACAATTGTGTTCAGATATGGCTTCTGGAGTTGATTCGCTTGGTCAATTTCAATGGGGAGATCTTGTACAATTAGAGTAAGTATTGATATCTTTAATTCTGATTTGATACAATTTATATGTATATTTTTTTTCTTTTAGTCCACAAAATGTTGGAGTAATAGTGAGAATTGAGCGTGAAAAAATGCATATTTTAAATATGGCAGGAAAGTTGGTTGAAGCTAAACCACAATCTTTAAATAAAAAAAAAGAACATAGAAATACAATTGGAGTTGATGCTTTAGGAAGTTCAATACAAAGAAAAGATATTGTTAAAGTTATTGATGGTCCACATACGGTAAATTTATTCATTATTTAATAATTTATTATATCAATCATGTTAATAAATAATTTTTATGATCTAGGGAATGCATGGTGAAATAAAACATCTGTATCGTCATCATGCGTTTTTGTATTCCCGTTTAATGACAGACAATGGAGGAATTTTTGTTTGTCGTTTACGACACATTGCCCTAGCAGGAAATTCAACTAATAAAGTAATATAGAAATTAATATTTTTTGTTATTTACTTATTAAATTTTAATATTTTAGCAAGCCATAACTGCACCTCAAAATGGTTTTGCATCTCCTCAAATTACATCTCCTCGTCATACACCAGGCAGTCCATTTGGTGCTGGTGGTGGTGGTGGTGGCAGTGGTGGCCGCAGTAGTGGAGGATCGGGAGGTAGATTTGGAGGTGTTAGAAGAGATAGAGATTTAATAGGTCAGACAATTAGAATTACGGGTGGCCCTTACAAAGGTGCTGTTGGCATTGTAAAAGATGCAACAGAGTGTACAGCTAGAGTTGAACTTCATTCTTCCTGTCAAACAATATCAGTGGATCGAAGAAATATAACAATTGTTGGACAACAATCTAAGGATGGAAGATTAACATCTTCATACTCCAGAACACCAGCTAATGTGATGATGACTCCTGGATATCGTGAAGGTGGTAAGACTCCTGTGCAAGGTTCAATGACACCCAATTATGAAGTTGGTAACCGTACACCACACTTTGGAAGCATGACTCCGTCACACGACGGTTCTAAAACACCTACTCAAGCTTGGGACCCTGCTGCTGGGTACACTCCTGCCCGAGTAACTGATAGTGATTTAGAATATCCTATGGATCCTGGGACTCCTTATGCACAAACTCCAAATACATTATATGGTTCTTCAGATCATTCTTATTCACCATATCAAGCAATATCTCCATCAGGAGGTGGTGGATATAACAGTAAGTTGTCAAATATAATTGTTATTTTTACAGATTTTTACAATATTTTATTTTTTTTTAATAATAGGTAGTAATTCGTATGTAAATACTCCGAGTCCAATCAATACTTCCAGCCCTCGTAGTATCCAGTATCATCCAGCACCATCACCATCAGGTTCTTATGCAAGTTTAATGACTCCATCATCTGTGTCATCCCCAGGATTAGCAGCTCCTTCATTGACATCTTTTGGTAATAATTCAAGTATTAATAATTTTCTCATCAATATTGCTTATAAATACATAAATGTTAAATAACAGGTTTACCACCGGGATGGCAAACCACAGATATTTTTGTTCGTATTGCCGATTCAGATCTAGCAGGTCAAACTGGTATTATAAGAGATGTTAGTGAAGCAACATGTAGTGTTTATTTGCCTGAAGAAGAACGTGTTGTCACCATAGAAAATGATAATTTGGAACCAATTATGCCAAAACCCAGTGACTATGTGAAAGTTCTATGTGGTTCTTACAGAGACAGAACAGGCAATATGATGGCAATTGAAGGTAGTGAAGGTGTTGTAGTAATGCCAGACGAAAAAAATCCCATACTTATACCGCTGCTGCATTTGTGTAGAGCAAATTAGTTTATTAAGATTGGTAACACACATTCATATATATATCATAACTATGTGTGGCTTTTAGTACTATATTAGATTACTTGAATATTGAGTACTTATAATAATAAGTTGTGTATCATTTTACTTAAAAAAAGCCAACCTATTGAACGTATATATTTTTAATTTTTAATTATTGATATTATGAACTATATGAATTTTGATAATTATTATTGTAGCATACAAATCATATTTACTCTTTAGTTTATACATAATAAAAATAATTGAAATATACATTAATTTATAAATTTAATATGGTTTAAATGTTTATAGTTATTATTAAGGCATGGAAGTTGATGACCTTACAACAATTCTAAAATGACCTAAAAAATCTTTAAATTATAAATGGTTTAAAATTAATAAAAATAACATTATTTTTTTTTTAATTTATGAAATGTTCATAAAAATGAGTAGCAGCTTTTAGTCATGTGCCCCATCCTGATCAATACCAATTATGGCGATAAAGAAATATTAGGTGGTATTTTCTTGAAATTTTGGAAACATGATGAGCATTTCAAAAATATTTATTATTAGTTGATCTACTTATGAGAAGAGTTTAAAAATCTCCTTTACAATCTATGTAATCCGTGGGCTAAATAATAACTTATGTGTTCTATTTTTGAATATATGATTTTTATAATTTTGCCAGCATTCGTCATATAGAGAGCGGCATCAATCAAAAACAATAAAATATTATTATGTTTCACTCTCTAAGGCTATAAAATATCTAACTTTATCTAATAATTTAGCATTAATGGTAAGAAACTACAATAAGTGAAGATTGTAAATTAGTGAAAGTGCAATAATAAGGTAGGTACATATTATTTGATGAATATGGTTTAAATATGATTTTATAGTAACTTCAATAAAATTGTTATATTTCTTTAAACTATTGAGAAATAAGTAAAAGTTATTAAAAATAATTTAAAACGTAAAAGAGCCAGAAAATTCAAAACAAAAATTAGTTATTTGGATTCACATGTTATGGAAACATATTTTCAGCTAAGAAAGTGTCGTTTAAAGTTATATATAAAAAAAATGCTAATAGTTAAATAGTTTTAATTCAAACCCATGTGGTATCGTATATTAGTGTATTTTATTACTAAACCACCATTAATCCTCCTTAAGTAGCTTGAGTATAAATGCCTCATCCAATCAACATCTAAAAGCCAGTAATTTTAAACCAAATAAAAATAATGATTATGATTTTCTATATTTTGTATTCCAATATTCCAACAATTCATTATAAAAAATCAATAACATTCAAATAAAAAGTCATTTAAATTTAGATTTAGTTTGAAAAGATTTAATTTTACTTCAACAGAAATCATTCTTCCACTCTGTTAAATAAACTACAGAACTGTTGTCAAAAGGTTAAAACTTAATTTTATCTAATTTACTAAAACTCAACTTCAATAAAATATTTAAAAAGTACCTTATTTAAACATATGCATTTTCAAAAAAAAGTATTAAACTGACCATGGGTAACAAAATAATAGCAGTTAAAAAACTCTATTAAATCTCAAATGTTTATATTTCTTGTATTAAATTTAATGTAAAGATGTTTACTGAAAAAATTGATAAAACAGTTATCAAAAAAATTAGTTCCTAAAAACCTAGTTTTAGCATAAACTGTATGAAAACATTAATAAAATAAAGTTAAATATTTTTATTTAACTTGTCTGTGGTTTTTGTAACTGTAGGCACATACAAATTGCCTCCCAATCTAGGTAGCTTACCTTTTTAGTTTTTTCATTTGAATTTTATCCTATACCTAGTTAATTATATCGATTTCCATAATGTTTAAAAATATTATTTTTATGTAATGACATATTTCCTAAAGAAATAAATTAGTAAAAAACAATATTGAAATTAGTAAGTAATTTACTTATATTTACTAGTTGTCTTTGCCAGTTTAAGGCCATTTGTGACTTTTTATTTTATTACATGTTATTATTTATTGTAATATTAAATTAAACAGAACTACTAACTATTATATTAACTTCTTTATTGCGATGTTGATCTATTTATTAAAAATATAAATATTTATAAATATTTGCTAACTTAAATTTTTGATGGTAAATCATGTATTTATTATTGTTATATTTACATAAACATTTTTGTAGTGTAGGCCTATGAATACTAATTACACCATCACACTTTTTTTTATGATAATTGACATTGACTTATTATTTAATTTACTACATTCTTCTTTTAAAATTAGAAGCAGACTCGCAGACTTATAAACTTTATTTTTTTTTCAAAAGATAGTGGGTAAATATTTTAAATAATCAATATTCCTAAAATACACTATTTTTGTTTTGTTTTTTTTAATTTTTGATTTTTACTTTTTTTTTCTTTGTGTATGTTAATTGTTAATATAGTATGTACTGGGATTAGTTGTGCCACTGAATAAAATAATATGAAAATGTTTATTTAAATATGTTACCATTGTTACCCCCATAATAGTTTTTGTGAATAGAATTTATTTTACAGTAAATCAATAAATAAAATAAAAACATTTTACATAATAAATGTATGTCTTAACACAATCAATAATTTTGTACATTTGGAACATTCTATATACTCCTTAAAATAACATAACATGAAAATCTGAATCATTCAAAACTGAATGTATAACGTTTATTTCTAGTATAATTGATAATTTAATAATAATACAATACAAACAAACATAATTAAAAATCCACAGATGACATACTGCCAGTTAATAAAAAATATAGTATTAATTCAATAACTAATACCAAAAAATAACTTGTCTTTTACTTAATCAAATATTCTAAACTATATTATATAAATATGCACTTGTTATTTAAAAAAAAATAATATTTTCAATGATATCTTAAAAAGTCAAAAATTATACTAAAATTAATATGAATTTATGCCAAACACGAATATTAAAAATATTTGGCCAAAAGTTATTCTCATTAATTGGTTGCAAAAGTCACATTATTTTAGTAAAATAAATATTATTACTCATCATTCATTTGAAATAAATACAACATTAAAACATAAAAATACAATTGTTTAAAAAACTTCAACATGACTACCACATTTTGAGTTTAGATTAAGTTAATAAAATAAAAATAATGAAGTGATTTAAATACCTCATATAGTTATATAACTTTTAATGAACTTACTTTTTATTAAAAAAATAAAATTAATTGATCTTGATGGACTGTTGAGAACGTTCAATGTATAAATTTAATAATTTGAGTTTTGCGCCGTTTAGACTTGAAATATGAGGTATAAATTCTTGTGAACCAAATACTTTATATAATGAGACCATACAGAATACAGCTGACTTACGGACTGCACTATCAGGATTATCATAGCTTTGCAATAGACCAGACATAATGTCTTTTATTTTATCAATTATAGGTGGACTGCCATATGTATCAATAATTTTTGTCATCATTCTAATTGCAATCAAATTGACTGGAAATTCTTTTGCCAATATTAAAGGTGTTATTATTTTCACAACTGTTTCTATGTGTAAAGATACACTCAAAGTAATTAAACATTCTTCTGCAACTTTAACAACAGATTTATATGAATCACAGCACATATTTATTATTTTCAATATAATCAACTCAGTATAGTCGTGAAAATAGACAACTACTTCAGATTTTTGAACTAAATACATTACCAAAGTCATTGTATGTTCTCGTATAGTTGGTTCAGTGTCTATTAATAACTTAAAAATAACTTTAATCATTTTTTCGATATTATTTATAAGTTTACAAGAAGAATAATCATATTTTATTAATTCTTTTAGATGAATCAAAATTGATTGTTTATCGTGAAACTGCAGAGTATCTTTATCTAAATCATCAAGAATTTGTATGATTCCACCATCTACTGTAGTATGGCTATTACTGAAACTATTTAAATTATGACTATTAGTTTCAATATGTATAGATGAATTATTTTCTCTAGATTCATATGAATCAGCACTCATCTCCTCAGGATAATGATATTTTAAACAGCACTTTTGAACTTTACCAGTAGATTGTTTAAATGACTTATGTATTTCTTTCAAATTAAAAATATCAATGGTGTCAGGTTGTAAAGGTGGTGAAGCTAGATTTGTTGATATCTGGCCACTATAATTTAGAGACGTAATTTGATCAATACTACTTCTTCTTACTTTAATTTTCAAGAGTCTAGAAAATATCTCTTGATACTCTTCCGGTAACTGGGATAATCGCAATGTGATTTGAGATGCATTTAAACTATACAAAGCTAGTATAGCTTCCTGAGATGCACGTCTCAATTCGGGCCCTTGTTTTATATTATTATTACACATAGTCCATCCAATCATTTTTATCAATGCTAAAGTAGCATAATCTTTTTTGTCATTTACAACAGAAAGAAAAATTGACCTTGAGTCTGCATTGACAGCTAATTGTGAGATATAACTCATGGCAAATATTTTAATTTTAATATTAGGTGTTTGTGTAGGGTCTGTAAGAAATTTAAACACAGCAGTTAGCTGCAAATCACAAGGGAAAGATGATCTTATAATTTCCAATGTTTTCAATATTTTTGAATGTACAGAATTAAGTATATCAGAGCCTCCTTTATTGAATAACTTGACTAAAAGTGTATATAACCAATATTCTAAATATTGACTATGGGTAATAATTAACTCATTAAGTACATCTAGAAAGAGACTTATGGCTTTGGTTTGAGAATCCATAATCATTTTAGTAAACACCTCTGTTATTTTTGTTAGTAATAATTTACTCATAATATTTCCTTGTTGAAAATATTTTTGTAAACTTAATAAGCCTTCCTTGCGATTATTCCAGTTTGAACTTTCACACCTTGATATTATATCTTCAATATTTAAACATTTCAAACTAGAGTTTTTCCAAATTTCTTTATGTTGGCCACATTGTGATCTATTTAAGTAAAATGAATCTGAAAATCGCTTACGATAGTCAATTTTGCGTTCAGAACAAACACTAGATGTCTCACTATCATCATTATAATCATCAAATAATCTCTCTAATACTTTTCTTGGAGACTTATAACAATTTTTGTTACTTAAAGCATCAGTAATAACAGACTCAGCTTCTTGACTTTGTACTAATATCTTTTGTGCCATTATTAGTCTGGGTTTAATCAAACTAGGTGGTTCTTTACTATTCATGTGTGAATCATGAACATTAAATCTATTAGGACTAATTTCTCTACTAGTATCTCGAGATTTGGGTATACCAGAAGTAGTTTTATGTGAATTTGTTTGAACAAAATTTAATTTTGAAGATGGTGATCCAGAACGACTAGCTGTTTGAGAAAGTGATACTCGAACTCTTGATCTTCTCTCTCTGTTTGTTTGGTATAAATTTTCATTACCCTTCTTAGTAACTGATTGATTAGACACCATGGGGTTGAATTTTTGTTTAACAAGTGTTGAATTTTGAGTATGTGCTTTTGAACTTTTAGCAGTTTGTAAGTCTATGGCACTTCTTGATCTTACAGATATATTACTATGTGAAGAAGAAGGACGATGATAATTCAATTTTGTACTTTCAACTGTTACAGATTTTGATAAACACGAATTTGATTCAGAACTTGTCAATAATATTTTACGATATGCTGGCTCCAACTTATTTAATAATATTTCTCCATGCTCAGGAAAATGTTTGCAAAATCCCCAATAAGCTTTTCTAGATAACATCCGAGCACTTGAATCAGCATCAGCAATACCCTTTTTAATGCAATCTTGTAGTATAGTTAAATGTCTTTCTATTGCTTGAGTTGGCCATTTACGCAGAATTTGATCAAAAAATTCACAACATGCACGACGAATATCTTTTGACTTTGATCCCAAACTATTTGCAAGAATAGGTATAATACGAGGAGCATGAGTATATTCTAGAATGAATCGGATAGCAACTAATCCAGATGAAGCAGTTACTTTTGCTGAATTTTGTATGAGATCAATTAAATTGCTAAAAATGGATTCTGAAAAATGGTTAAATTTATTACCCAAACGTTGGGATAAAAATGCTATAGTAATACATGTTTCTCTAATAACCTGAGATCTCAAATCTTTAATAGATATTTGGAAAGAATGTTCTAAATATCTCAAATTATTGAAAAACTCTTCATATTTTGTTGCTCCAATTAATACAAGTGATCTTATCTTCTTTAATGAGTCAACACGTTTATTCCATTGTTCATTACTATCTTGAATAGATTCATGTATCTTTTTCATAGTGTCATCTAAATCTCGTATACTATAAATGCTTAATGTAGGAACGTCTTCAAAAGACCGAATAAAAGTATCTTCATCAACTCCACATGCATGTGAAACAGATAATGCTGATGATGATGTAGATTTTCGTACAAAATCAACCTGTTGTAATGGTGAAGTAGAATTTGATTTTAGAGGTAAAAATGAAACTGGTCTTTTAATATTACTAACAACATATTTAGGTGTAAATGTGCAAGCCCGATCAGGCTCATCATCATTAGTTGAAAAAAACCCCACAGAAGTAGTTGGTAATAAATTTGTAGTTAATTTAACTTCATCAAATTTATTCATCAAGTCTGTCATTTTGTTTTGAGGAATTGAATAATTTTTTTGAATATCAATACGTAACTTTTCCCCGACATGCTTATACAAATCAACAAGTGTTTCAAATGCTTTTTGTCTCACTTGAACATTAGGATCACTTAAAAGTTTTATAATCATGGGTATAATTTTAGATATTGTAATACAATTTACACCAAATTCTTCAATAGTTAACAATAATAATTTCATAGATCCTTCTTTAACGCAACTATTTTTATGATTAAAAGCATTAACTGATATTTTGTCAAATAAAGCTTGCGGGCTTATGGTATTACATTCCATTAATTTCATTATGAGAAAAAGTGTTTTAACTTTAATTGGTTCTTTACTATCACCAATTCGATCAATAGCTATGGGTAGTATGGTAGAAATGTAAGGTCTAAAATTTATTCTCATTCTGTTGATTAATTGTGTGATTATTTCAATCCCATACTGAGTAACTTTAGGATTGCTATTTAATAACCATTGAACAATCCCATCAATAAAGATTCCAATATCTGAGCATTCAATTGAATTACTAGGTTCTTCTAAATAAGTAAATAATTTACAACCTACAGTTACCTTCATTCGAATATCAGAAGTCAATAATAGAGGTATAAAACCATCTAAATCACGTGGTAACTCAGCAGCCATTTTCTTAGATGGTAAATATGTTGGAAAGAGGTTGTGTAGAATATTGTATTATATAATTAATGTCCTGCAAAAAACCAAAATTAGAATTTAGTAAAATACCCCAATTAAAAAATTCAGTACATTTCAAGAATAGTAAAATATTTTTAGATGAAATTTATACTATTTAAATTACTTTACCATTATTGATAAAAATAACTCATCAAAATCTTAAAAGAAAAAAAATATATATTTAAATATAATTCAGTATTTATCAAATTATAATAAAAGTATTTTATCACTTATATTCATTAAAAATTTACAATATACCTATATTGTAAACTTTCTTATAATATTAAAATTATAATAAAATAATTATATATCACCATTAAAATTTTTTTGAGTCACAAATTTCTATACCGATGACATCCTAGATAATCCAGAATGATGGGTTATAACAAAATAACTATTGTACTATAAATATATATTTTGAAAATCAAAAAAAATTTTCAAAAACTATTTTTAATACATATGATAATTAAGTATTTAAAGAAATAAGTTAATTATAGTGCCCTTAAATTTTAAAGATATGCGCACCCACTGAAATTGTTTAAATCTGAGAAGTAAAACCATCAACAATATACCATAGACAAAATTTTAATTCAGAACATAATATTATATTATTTTAAGTTGTCTAGTCAAGTTTTTAACTTATTTTTTCATGATAGTAATTTTTAGTTTCTTTTTTTAAAAATTGAATCAAAATTTTTTTCAGAATTCATCAATATTATTTTATTATAATACAAACGGTGAAATGTAAACTTTAATTTTTCGTAAAGTTTATGAAATAAATTCATATACTAGTTAAGACATATTATGATAAAGATAATAATCAAAAATAAAATAAAAGGTGGGCAACATTCAAAATTGGTTTTAAATTATTTTCATTAATAATTTGTTAATTACCTAGTGTACATAGTACATATTAAATAATAAATGATTAATTTATGACAATTTATCATGGATATATTGATAACGTACTTCATATTTGTTGATGCTTTGAAAAATCAATTAAGATATTGGTTAATGTCATTTTCATAAATCGTAAGTGAATAATTAATCTTCAATCCTGTAATGGAAATATCAGATGAATATATAGAATATAAGACATTTGTCTTAAAATTTTTCGTAGGATTGACGCATAGATTAGATGGATAGCAAATACTGAAGGACTACACAGTACACACTTCATACTTGAATAAACATTGTAAGACGATCCACTGTTCACTGACTCTACAATAGACGTCAATACATATTACATGATGGTACGAAATACGAATAGTACAATTGACGGATAATTATAGATGATTCATAAACGGAATAATCGAATGTCGTTTTCTAATCATTATTCTTTTGACACTAAAATAGATTTTCTGTATTCCCAGTGTGTACCCATTTGACGATTCATTATATCTGGTAGGTAAACTAAAAGTCCCGTCATACAACATTGATTATACTATATTATATAGTATATTAAATCATAACTCATGACTACTTCGACTTTTTTAAAATTATGAAATATAATATAAACATTATAAACTATTAATTTTTTTTAAAGTGTTCGGACAAAATAATAGTTATTGATATTCCGAAAAGTGATGAAGATATCCGTGGCGTTACAGATTAAAAATTCACCAAATTCACAACGGGCCCGAGTAATAAGTAATGAGTATCGACAAATAACCGCTACCCAACATCCTCATCAAAATAACCAAATTATTCAGGTACCCATGCCATGGTAGTAGTCACGTGACTTCTATTTCAATACTCGAAAGACCTAACCTCGCAGACAACCATCTATTGAAAAATATAACATATTAGTATAGTACATTAATATTATTCTTTTAACGGTTTCAGGTTAATCGTTAATCGTTATTTGTCATACCAACTACTAGTGTGCTATAATTTATAATCGTATAATTTTTAAGCCCGATTGGCGATTGCCGATCGCCACAGAAATGTCGGAAAGCGATACAGAAAGTGATGTTGAAGTAATTGCTAATAAATGTCTTATAAAATATATTATTAAATACGAAATAATCTTATTACTATTTTGGCGTTTATTTTAGGAAAACCCACGATGTCGTAAGCAGACATTGAATTACAGTGTAAGTAGAAGCCATTCATCAAGTGGATCCGAAGCTGATGAAAATAATCAGTAATTATTAAATTTTTGTGGAAAGTAAGGTCAATATTAAATGTAAATGTTAATTAATGTTACAGGGAAAAAGTTGCTGATGAACAAGAACCGGAAGGCGAGAATATAAATTCTGAGGATGTAACTTCTTAATTCTGATATAAGTAATTATTTAGTGTGACTATTACTTTTATGTTTGTAAGGAATATGATGAAGAAGACGATCGTTTAGTCAAGAAAAAAAAGAAAAATGAACGTTTTGGTGGTTTCATTATTGATGAAGCCGATGTAGATGATGAAGTAGAAGAAGATGATGATTGGGAAGATGGAGCTAGCGAATATGGCATCGTTGCTAATGAGGTTGATGAATTAGGACTAACTGCAAGAGAAATAGAAGGACGCAGACGTGGAACTAATCTTTGGGAGTAAGATTTAGTATATAATATATATTTCATATTTAGTATAGGTTTAATACAGGTTCATACAAGGTTTATTCTATTTATTTTAAATATATAATCATTACAATACATTTTTAGCACTCAAAATGAAGATGAAATTGAAGAATACTTGCGTAAAAAGTATGCAGATGCTTCAGCTACAATAAAACATTTTGGAGATGCTGGAGAAGAACTAGCTGATGAAATTACACAACAAACTCTATTACCTGGTGTCAAGTAATATTTATAGTATAAGTCTATAAAAAATATTTTAAATATGAACTTCTGATTTAAGGGACCCAAATTTATGGATGGTTAAATGTCGTATTGGTGACGAAAAAAATGCTGCTTTATTGTTGATGCGAAAATTTTTTGCATACCAATTTACAGACGATCCATTGAAAATCAAATCTATAGTTTCTCCAGATAACGTCAAGGGATACATATACATTGAATCATACAAACAAACCCATGTTAAATCAGCCATTGAAAACATTAGTAGTCTTAAAATGGGATTTTGGAAACAACAAATGGTTCCTATAAAAGAAATGTCGGATATTTTAAAAGTAGTTAAAGTACAAACCGGCTTGAAATCTAAACAATGGGTTAGATTAAAAAAAGGTTAATTTTTTTATTACTAAATTTTATTATAAACACTGAAAGTGCCTAAAACTTTATTTCTGCAGGCTTGTACAAAGATGATATTGCTCAAATAGATTATGTGGTCTTGTCCCAAAATCAAGTACATTTGAAACTACTACCAAGGATTGATTATACTAGGCTACGCGGTGCTCTTAGAGTATCAATAGTAATAATTTTAATAGTTATTTTTAATTTTTATAATTAAATATTTTCCTCTAGGATCCAGAAGCTTTGAAAAGGAAGAAAAAAAGGCGTCCCATAGCTAAACTATTTGATTCAGAAGCTATTAGAGCTATTGGTGGTGAAGTTACCAGTGATGGTGACTTTTTAATATTTGAAGGAAATCGATATAGCCATAAAGGATTCTTATACAAAAACTTTTACTTGAATACAGTAATTACTGAAGGAGTCAAACCTACACTATTAGAACTTGAAATATTTGAAGATGTTCCTGAAGGTGTAGACATAGAATTAACATCAAATAAAGATAATATAACAAACAGTCAAACATTATGTTCTGGAGATAATGTAGAAGTATGTGCTGGAGAGTTAATAAATTTACAAGGAAAAGTATTATCTATTGATGGTGATACAGTTTTGATTATGCCAAAACATGAGAATCTTAATGTGAGTAACAATTATTATTAACTATTATATTTTATAATTTCTTTGTTATATTTTTAGTTTAAAAAAAAATAGTTTTGAAATGCATGGCCACAGATTGTAGTAAATCTAAAGTTATAAAACAGCTACAAATTCTTATAATTTCAAGGCATCTATGGATGTGACTTTTATTGTAAATAGTCCACTAGTTTTTTTAGAGAACAATGAAAAGAACTTAAATTTATTTATAATATTTATTTGAAAAAAATTCAAAGTGAAGATAAGACATGGCTATTTTTATTTCAATTCAAATCAAAACTTAAATTAGGTATATAAAAATGTTGTCATCCTGAAATAGATATTTTATTATTGAAATGTGAAACAATTTATTTTTTTATTTTTTTGAACTGTTTAAAAAATATATCCTATGAAATGGCTATTTTTAAAATTTAAAATTCTTAAATGCATAAAAAAAAATTTTGAGTTTTTTTTAAAATAAAAATTGAATTTTATGCCATTCAATCAGAATTTCCATAGTTTAGTATTGTAAAATATATTGATTTTTCATGGAGATAGTAAGGGTGATACGAGACTTTTGCGACATAATGTATATAGTGTTCAATCTGGCAATTTTTTATATTGAAGTTTTGAACTCAATAATAAGTATTGTATGTTTGTATTATGTAAGACTAGAAATGATGAAGTAAAAATCAAAAATCAGATTTAAATTATTCAAATTAAAACACGAGTAGTATAAACTGATTGAATAATTATCTATAAGTATTAGTTTTATAATATATATGTTATATAGTATATACAGAATATACCTATTACTGATTTTATTTGCTTAAAAATACCTATTTATACAATATTTCATTCAGCACATTTTTGAAAAAATATTAGATCTGAAATATATGTTATTATTGTTATTAACTTATGCATAAATCTTCAAATTCATTCTAAATTAGATTAAAAGAAAAATTATTTTTAAAAATGTATATTTTTAGCATTAATTTTAAGCATTTTCAAACATTTTAAAAGTTTTGTCAAGCAATTCTAATTTTAACTTTTTGTTATAGATGCCATTGGAATTTATGAAAAATGAACTACGCAAATTTTTTAAACAAGGTGATCATGTAAAAATAGTAGGAGGACGTTTTGAGGGTGATACAGGACTTATTGTTCGCGTAGAACAAAATCGAATTGTGTTATTTTCAGATGTCACCATGCACGAACTTGAAGTTTTACCTCGTGATTTACAGTTGTGTACAGACACAGCTTCTGGAGTAGATTCACTTGGACAATTCCAATGGGGAGATCTTGTACAATTGGAGTAAGTATTGAAATCTAATTGTGATTTGATACAATTTATTTTGATATTTTTATTGGTAGTTCACAAAATGTTGGAGTAATAGTGCGGATTGAGCGTGAAAAAATGCATATTTTAAATATGGCAGGAAAATTGGTTGAAGCTAAACCACAATCTTTAAGTAAAAAAAAAGAACATAGAAATACAGTTGGAGTTGATGGTTTGGGAAATTCTATACAAAGGAATGAAATTGTAAAAGTTATTGATGGTCCACACACGGTAATTTTAATTAATATTGATTATGGAATGCATTTTCTTAATTTGCTATTATAGTTAGTATCAGTATTCGACCAATTTATTTTTATGACTCAGGGATTGCATGGTGAAATTAAACATTTATATCGCCATTTTGCTTTTTTGTATTCCCGTTTAATGACAGATAACGGTGGAATTTTTGTTTGTCGTTTAAGGCACATTACTCTTGCTGGAAATATAAAAAACAAAGTAATATATCAATATATATATCAGTACGTTTATTTTTGATTTGATATAATTTTTGTTAAACAATTTAGCAAGCTAAGATTACAATACAAAATGGATTTTCATCTCCACAAGCTATGTCTCCATGGCGTAGTAACTTTGGTCAATTTGGTACTAAAGTAAGTGTAGGAATAGGAGAAGATACTTTTGTGGGAACTGGAGGTAGATTTAGTGGTGTTCAAAGAGATATAAGATTAATTGGTCAGACAATTAGAATTACGGGTGGCCCTTACAAAGGTGCTGTTGGAATTGTAAAAAATGCAACAGAGTGTACAGCTAGAGTTGAACTTCATTCTTCTTGTCAAACAATATCTGTAGATCGTAGAAACATAACAATTATTGTACAGCAGTCCAAGGATAGAAGACTAACATCGTCATACTCAAGAACACCTATCAATGCTTTAAAAACTCCTGGGTATCGTGAAGGAGGCAAAACTCCTGTACAAGGTTCAATTACACCTAATTATGAAGTTGGTAACCGTACACCACACTTGGGAAACATGACTCCATCTCATGACGGTTCTAAAACACCCACTAATGTTTGGGACCCAGGTTCAGGATATACTCCTGCCAGAGTATCTTATGAAGATTTAGAATATCCATCAGGTTCTGATACTTATGGACAGTCACCAAGTACATTTTATGGTTCTTCAATACATTCTTTCTCACCATATCAAGAAATATCACCATCTGGTTGTAACAGTATGTGTTATAATTATGATTATTATCTTGTATAAATCTAAAATATTATTTTCATTTTATTATTTCAGGTATTAATTCTTTTATAAATACTCCAAGTCCAATTGGCTTAGATAGTCCTAGCAGTATACCATTTTATCCAGCTTTATCGTCACTAGCAGCAGACCATAAAGACCAAATCTCAAAACCATAACCCATTTATAATACAGTATTTTTGTTAATCATTTTTTATTTATTCTTTTATGACTTAAATAAAAAAAAAAAATACATTACTTTAATGTAACTGACATATTAAGTCATTCTTCCACTTAAGTTAATTAAAATTCTGGTTTGTATGTTAATAATCAATTACTGAAGTCCGAGTTGGTGAAGTAATATTGGAACATAATCATCATATTGTGCCAGATAAAAATTACCAGCAACAGGTGTTCCTAATTTGTACTTCTTTGAAAATTTGTGAATTGAAAACTTAAAACGATTTTCAGCAGTTCTAAAAATTAATATTAAGATTTTTAAGTGTAAATAATATACAACTGTCTATTGCAGTAGCACAATAATTAGTGATGCTATACTATAACATAAATATATGCTATATGTTACCTATTGCTTATACGCGGTTCATCAAACACTAATTTTGATGGTTGCTTGTATACTAAGAATACGTAGCGATGATATCCTATAAATATTAAAATGTAATTTATTTACTTTTAAATTTAAATATTTATAAAATTCTATTGTATAAAATATTTACTCTAGGTAAGTACCTGTTTTGGGTGGAGTTGCAGAACCAACATATGCAGTTAGTGTTTCTCCCATATTCACATTTGCACCTGGTATGTTTCCTATCAACCAATGATGAAATTCCTTTAATTCAGGTCCAGCATCTGGGTCTAAGTAAATAATAAAAATATTTTTGACTTATTTTTTAAGTATATATGTGCATAATTTGACATTATACTTGCCAGTTAAACATAATGTATAGAATGAATAAGGTTCAGTGTTCCATTTAACTGATGGCTGGTCTTTCACCTGAGTAGGTGTTAGTTCATTACCAAGTTCCGCTTTTAAACCACTCGAATAATATACCTATTTTATTTTATAAACATTTTTAGATTGTTTAATACTTATTATTTTTTATTTTTACTTGTAACATTTCCTTTGGAGCAACAGGAATGACATCTGGTATGATTAATTGGTTTTTCATTGCTTGTTCAACATTGAACTTGCATGCAGACACGCTGAATATGATCTATAGAATCATTGATTTTATATTAAATTTTAAAAACTAATGATAGGCACCATATTAAATAATAATTCAATTTCGTTTAAAAAAAAAAAAAAAACTTCAACCTAAGAAATAAAAATGTATGTACTCTTACCAAATTTAATGTTAAAAACCACATATTTATTTTCAAAATCGTTATAAATTACCTAAATAAATAATAGAAACTTAAGAACTGCTTTACAAGTAGACCATAAATTAACTTATGAACTCAAAAATTCTTGTCTAAATTGTTACCTCAATAGTTGGAGATAGATAAATGAAAATAATCGTGTAGAGACACAACTACAAGTATATTCATTTTTTTTATTTTCAATGCCCCTCTTCAGTAATCCAATTAAAATAATATATTTTATTATCTTCATTGCTGTTTTATTACAGTATAACTACCTACTTGATATTGTCATACAAATTTATCATTGGTGTAAATTGTTAAATTAGCATATAAAAGTACTGATGTAGGTACTGTGCGATGTGCATTACTTAATACTTACTATATTACTATGTGCAATCAATTAATATCAAACAATATTTAAAATAAAATACTTAAATAGGTGTTCATAGTGGTAAACTATAACTTATAAACCTAATAGGTACCTAAAAATCTATACCTAACTTGTAACTAATATAAGTATAAGATTTGGGTGCAATACTAGGCAAGATTAAAATATAGTATAGCCTAATATCTACTTGAATCAGGATTATTTTTTCTTTAGGTAGGTACCTACTTGTACAGATTTATACTAATAATTAATTTGTATTACATTAAGTATTTAGTAAATTAAGTACTATGATATTCAGTATTTAGTAAATTAAGAACGATGATGTTCAGTATTTAGTACATATTACACTAGGTCATGGGCGTCCGCAAACATTTTTCTAGTGGGGGGGGGGGGCAAAATTAACTTAAAAAATAAATAAAGATTTTTCTTTATACATTTTATTTATAGTATATTATCATATTTTGTCATTATTACAATTAGGTATTATTATAATAATTATTTATAGAACATTATTATGTTTCGTCAGTATAACATTAAATTATAACAATTAGGAAACAAATTTAAAATTCTAGGGGAGGGGGGAAAGTGCCTTGCCTTGCTTCCCCCTAAGGACGTCTATGTATTAGGTATATTTAAACTTATAGTCTATTAGTCTGTAGAACCTATTGGCATGCTTAGGTAATTCACCAAGCATGCTCACTCCCATTTTAAATTATGAACAGAATATTATATAATAATTTTGTGATGATCTGTTTTTTATTTTTGGGGGTCAAAATGTTCGATTTTAAACTTATTTCAACTCAAACATGAATAATCAATACTTGCACAAGATGCTTGTATCAGCGTTTTATATATAACATAAAACATTTCGACTCTTTTGGAGCTATTTTTAAAGTTTTGATAATTTAAATTTTCAAAATAAGTATCCACTATACAATTTATAAAGTAAAAAGAAAGATATCATTCAAAAAACAGAGTTTATATCTTTACAGGACATTCTTTAAGTATAGTATAAATATCTCGATAATTAAAAAATATTGTGTTTAAGTATAGAAGTAGGTACATTTAAAAAATCCATATTATACTAGATTTTGAATAACTACTGCATTCTTAAAGAAAATAAAGGGGGTGATAATACTTAATGGATCACTATAAATAAATAGTAGATACCTAGGAACCTAAATAATTATCCTTTTTTGCATAAATTTATATTCAATGGTATAATAGCATAATTCTAACTGATAAAAGTAGGTAAATACCTACTTAAGTTAAATTTTAATATACGCGCACTGAACATAATATGTAAATGATGAATACCCTGAAGTTAATTACAATAATGCTCGAAGAATTAGGTACCTATTAGATAAATTTACCTAGATAAAATAAAATACATTTGTAAGAATTATATTATAGTTGGCGGGGAAGTGGTAAATGAACTCGTACAGAAACTTATTAGTTATTGGTGAATTTTTAAAATAATGAATGTATAAAATTCTTCAAATTAAATTTCAAATGTATATAAAAAGTACACTCAGTCTTACCAATGTCAAGCATAAAGCATTCGTGAGGGGCTTTCCTCTTCTCACTCCTTATACTAAATCGCCTATAAACTAGCAACAAAACATATTTATAATATAAGATAAGATAATTTTTAATGAATATTGAGTGTTTAATAAGATAATATTAAACTTTTATAATATTATAAACTTGAACAATTGAAATAAATAAAATATTTTAATTATAATGCAAATGTGTTTTGACGAACTTTGGCTTTATTTATAAAAGTATTAGCGACTTTTTCAATATCCACATCTTCGTTTTGATGGACATGAATAATAGCTTTATCGCCTATATATCATTAAGTCATTGAGATGATTCTGTGTCATTGTTGACCTCAAAAATATCTTCAACCTCTTTAATGCTGTGAAAGACCTTGCAGCTGTGTGTAGAGTAAAATGAAACTGAAATAATTAAGATAATTTTTTATGAGTTTGGAAAATGTTGATAACATATCACATAAATAATCAGATTTTATAAAATTTACTTCGTCTTTAAACTTTTTATAGATATATCCCTAGATTTTTCAATACCTAAAAACATGTCTCAATATAATACCAATCTATTTCAGTTAAAATCACTTCTAGATTATAGGTTAGGTTCTGTCGGGATGAAATTTCTGTCTTCGCCGATTACAAATTTCTTTAATAAACATAAAATAATTAAATTTTGTAGAAATTTATCTTGAACTGATAAAACCGACGGAGGTAAAGCTTGTTCACTGTTTTGAATAAATATTTTTGGTGTTTTGTTAGGTCTTTGATTATTTAGCTCCTTAATATTAATTTCCCTTGCCTTGGTTGAAATTTCTAGTCAAAGTAATAAATCATTTAAATCACTTTCTCCTTGCTATTCAATTGATGAAATTATGTGTTTAATTTTAATTTTACACTATAGAAATTTAATAATATCGTTTGAAGTTTTGCGTTGAGAAATTCAACTATCTCAAAAATATTAATCATTTATTTGGTATATAATAAAAATTCATATTTGAAATTTTTTTTTGGGAAAACCACTTGCCTTAGTTTTAGCATAATTTTCTGACCTCTTTTTTGACAATATACCCAAAAACTTGATAAAACTGCATAATTACAATATAATGTTTTTAAAGATTACTCGTATAGTTGTATATACCATCTAATTAGACAAAATAGAGGAAGTGATTGAGACTTTAATTCTTGCTCACTTTGAAGAGCATTGAAAATTGCTTGTCTTTTGAGAGAACAGCTTACAAGTTACAAACGTCAAACAGTATAATAGATTTTATCATAGCTAAAAAAACTCGAGATCTATCTACCTTTTAATTCTATACTTAAATTCCATAATAGGATTCCCATTAATACTTAAGTATCTTAAGTACCTAAATATTTTCTTTGCCAAAATAAAAAATTATAATTTTCTTTAATTGTGATTTTGTTATAAAATTGATTAAGGTGACTAAAATTTTTATGATGGATAGATAATTTATATATTAGGTACAAAAGACTACAGAAGACCTATGATCAATGATAATCAAATAAACAAAATAATATTATATACCTACGTCATTATTGGTTTACACAATACGGTTATAGATACTTGATGTAGGCGATTCAATCTCAAATAGAAATTAGAATTAGTGGGCCAGATATCTTGACTGAGAGATATCATTTTTTGAATCGACTTGGCATAACCAATCGAATGAAGCAATTTTTTTATTTGGTTGTTCTTATAGGTGTGTTCCTGGATTCGTTCAAGTCATAGTTCTTATATTTTAATAAACATCACGCCGCATGCCCTTGTCTATTATACAAGCAATTAAATGACTGCAGTCTTCTTTTTGTTAGGTAGTGGCGCAAATAGGGGGAACACCCCCAAATATTCTAGAAGCTACCTCAAAATATAAGAATAGATTTTAGGTATATTATTTTTTAATAACAGTTGTTTACATAATTTTTTTTTTATTTACTCGGTAATAAGTCATTTTTTTTTTTAAACTAATCAGATAGGTAGTATTTATAAAATAAAATAATTTTAATTTATAAGTAAAAAAAGTAATTGTATAGTTACTTATTAGTTATTACTTATTTTTGACAAAATTAAGAACGAAATACGATAACGATATCTGACTTTAACGTAGGCTATAAATTAGGAAAACACTAAAAATAGATCCAATCGAAATTATTGCTATTCGCCCAATCGGATTCATGGATGACGTTTGCATATTATAATTTTAAATTTATAATATTTTTATTATTGTTTTGTAAAGTTGTGGAATGTTCGAAATGTGCAATTTTAATAATTCACATGATTTCAGTATTCTGTATTTACTATTTGGTTAAACATTGATTGACTTATTTTGCATTTTTACTTATATTTTATCAAAATGTTGGTTGACTGCGTATTTGCTTTAATTTCATTTTTTGTTTTATAAAAAGTACTTAATTGTATTAAATACAGATATATGTACATATGTGATTATTGTAATTTAGAAAAAACTGTCTGGAGTCTTGAGCCTCTCTGATCATTTTTCTTGTTTGCACCACTGGTGTTGGGTACATCTTATGTGGTTATTTTTTATTAACAAATCTTATGGAATTGTAAGTACCTACCTATTTGAATTCATCTTTTATCAATAACAAGTAAATACTATTTAATATATTGTTAATTATTGCTTAATCATAAAACTTAAAAGTTATTTAAGTAAATTCTTAAACGGGTTATTACATCTATAAATTAATAGTACATATTAGTAGGTGGGTACTTTAATTTGCATATATATAGTAGCTTTGCGGCCCATAGGTAACATTTAAGGGAGGGGCAAAATAATACATTTTTCAAATATAAAGTTAATGATATTTTTCTAGGGATGAAGGGAGGCAAGTGCCTTGTCACCCCTGTTTTGACAGTTTGACTCCATCCATCCCAATGGGGGTACTCATGTAATCATGTGTAGTAGATTCTAGACAGTACAATAGTACATATAATAGTAATAATAGTATTAACTTCTATAAAAAAAAGATAAACATCGGTAGCTATCTAATAATCTAATTAGTATAATAGTATATAGTATAAAAGTTCGGTAAATAAAGTCCCAATAAACAAAAAAAAAATCAAGAAAAAATTATTGAAAAAAAAATATTATCTAATAACCTAAACTGTATTTTTAAAACATGTTTTAACGAAAATTAAAAATGCACTCAATGCAGAAACAGAATGTAAACTGTAATCTCGATTCTCCTTGTACCAGTACGCTTATATTTTATTATGTTCATATGAATTCAGAATTGGGAGTAGTTGTCTAATGTCTATAGATAGTTCTATACTCTACAGCAGCGTTTTCCAAACTCTTGTTTGAGCTGGCCAGTGGCCCGGTAATTAATATTTTTCCCCTTTGTGACCCACTAACATATTATTTTACATTTATCACTGTGTAAAATAAATTGCAAAATAAAACACATTTGAATGTTTGTACACAATTTTATAATACAATTGAAGCGTTAATTTAAAATAAGATTTGCTGGACGGGATGTTAGTTTGTTTCTCAAGTCAGGTTCGATTTCCAACTGATTTTTGTATTTATTCATAAGGACTTGAGTGTTGAAAATGCTGTTTCACACTTACGAATATAGGTCGTGACAAGACATGAGACATTTTATCGCTTGTTCTTCTAAAACTAGGTACTTTTGACGAGCAGATAACCAAAAATGTATAAATGGCCGTTCTTCATTAAATGTTATAGATACTTTATAGATTTGTAGATGGGTTTTTTATGAAGTTTAATTGACAATTTTAATAATTATTATTTATTATTTATGTTGTAAATACTTTGTAAATATTTTTTACTAAAAAGTTCAAATTATCTAAAAAAAGTGATAAATAACAAAATTTTATTAATTCTGCGACTCGGTATTATATTTTCATGGTCCGATAGTAGGTTGCGAGTTTGCGACCCACTATTTGGGAAACGCTTCAAACGCTGCACAGTGCACTGCTCTACGGGAAGTGCTTTTAAATATTTTTCATGGTTGGTGAATATTGTCAGAGTAATGCGCTATCTGTCAGTTAATTACTAATATAATGCTATTTGGACATGTTTGAGAACCCTGCATAAGTGCATACCACATACCAAAATATGTCGCTAGCACAGTATGAGATTAAAAACAAATACATAGATAATAAAACATGTCAGTTGTTACTTGTTATACAAAACAACAATCTGTGATTAAAAATTAGAATATGAAGTATGAATTGTTGAAGTCTAATATATTGTTTTTATTTAGTAACTAGTGTCTTACCGTCTTATGTATCAATAACCTAAATATAATTGCTAGTTAGTTGATATGATTTCATTAGTTGTTTAAATGTTTAACAACTATTGTTATTATTTACTACCTAGTACCTACTGGTTACTAGTTTTACTTCAGTAGATTGTAGTCTGTTCTCTGTATTTCTAAAGTATTGTCAAATTTCCAGAACCTGTCAATAATTATTGCTATTTGCTATGGTACTATTTATAGAAGTATAGAACTATAGTTTTTCAATTTAGAATTATCTATTTGCAAAGTTACAATTCACAAGCTGTGTTCAGTTTTTGTTCTCCCAACTTAAATATACAACACATTTATTCAATCCTATGATACCTAAATTATTTGTTATAGCACAGAACAATAACTTCTCTTCTATGGAAATAATATTGATGGTCAGTACACAAGCAGTTGGTACCTCGTGAGTGTAAATTATTTAATATCTGTCGCCAAAAAAAAAAAAAAAATTAAAATGCCTTGTTGTGTGCCTCTGTGTCCGTCTAATGCTCTAAAAGTTAGTGCATTTGGAGTGCCCAAGAATGAAACACTGAAGCTTGAGTGGGAAAGAGTTTTAGGTGTTAGCTTTAAACCAAATTCCAAAGTATGCCGCCGGCATTTTAGAGAGGAAGACATTATTGACACTTGGGTATCTGGTCAAGGATTTAGCAAATACACAGTAAATACTAAACACTCAATCTAGTGTTGGTTCTTATGTGGATAATTAATAAAAATATTCAATTTTTAGATTGATTTGAAAAGGCCATCTCTTCAAAAAGGTGCTGTACCCATACGTTCGGCATCATCTATATCCAAGGTAATTTTTTAATTATTTTATAGTAGTTGAGTAGTCAACCATTTTACTATATCTTATATAGTTCATGGCTAAAACTTTAAATTACTTAAATATTCTTAATAAAATATGTTGAATAGGATCAAGTGGTTGAGGAATCAAAGGGTCATGATAATATAGATACTGCATCAAAAGAAGGCATTTCATTGGTTTCTAAATCCCCTGAAGTATCAAATGTTTTCACTGCTCAATGTCATTTGGATGATGATAATAAATCTGAAAGTGATTATTCAAAACACAAAAAATTAAGTAGAAGCGCATCTGGAGGAATAGTATCATCATTAAATGATATAAATCCACCAAAAAGAATTATGGTTTATAATATTTATTGTATATAATACTTATTTACTAAAAATTCTTATATTTATTCTTTATATTATATAATATAATCTCAGAAAACATTAAATGGCATAAATATTTAGTATTTTTAAAATTATTTCTAAATATTAGGAATATAACAATAACTGAATAGGCATGTTCTAAAAATAATGCTCCAAAGGAGATGTCTTTAACCTCTTTTCATTGTCGGTTTTTATTACATTCCACAGCAATTGCCAAACATTCTAACTTCTATTTTTTCATGTTTTTTAAATTCTAATTTTTTGAACTTTTAAGTGTGCTTAAGAATTATATTTTCAATTATTCAGATTTTTATATCATTTAACAAGAGTCAAGAGCCTCAGACTGTGAAAACATTTTTTTTTTTTTATTAAAAACCATACTTTTTTATTCTAAATTCAGAATAATTAACAGACAATTGTTTTGAAAATATTGCTTTATCTAAATCAAAATTTGAATGATTAATTAAGTTATTAAAAATCACTTATGTATAACCTGTCGATTTCATCTTAGCACTTGTTAAGTGGTAACTATTAAGATTTGAAAAAAAAAATAATAGCATGAAAACTATTTATTGAAAAATTGTCATTATACCACTCCATCTTAATCCGTGGATTATAATTTTTCAATAGTTTCCAGTTCATTGTATTTATAAATTGTAATTTATTATTAAAAAACCAGAGTAAAGAGTATTAAGTTATTTGCTGTGTTTTAAAAATAAAGGTTGATAATATTATGCAGAATTTTTCAACTTTATTTTGTGTAGACTGAATGAAATTCAATTTTTTGTGATCACAGATATTTGGTTATTCATGTTTTTGATTTTAATTGACCAAAATTAAATTTGTAAAAAAATTAACATCACAATTAACTCAATTAGAACATTAGATATATTAACTACAAAAAGCAAATTATATATTCCTAAGCAAAGCAATATAGAAATAAATTTACCAGGTGTACTGAAAAACTAATTATTTTATTCAATGACAATTGTTTTTAATGCTATCAATCAATTATTTGAATTTAAGTTATTTTATAATTTATTTGTATGGAAATACCAAACAAATAGAAACATAAGGAAATGAATACTTATTTGTTTTAATTCAAAAGTACATGATTACCAAAATTTAATTGACATTTGGTAATTTATAAGTGTTAACATATTTGGTATTAGGTAAGAAAATTACAATCAAATATATCCACTGTGAAACATAATACTAATTTATGTAATTTAAAATTTGAATACTAGTCTACAGGATAATGGAGATATTTTCTCATGTTTAGTGGGTTATTAATCTACAAATTGATAGTTAAGCCTAATTTTAGTAAAACTTATCATCTCAACTGAATATTCTTGGAAGTTGGACCAAAATTTTAAATGCCACATCATAATAGTAACATATTTTAATAATACATACAGTATTACGTGTCTTAGAATATGTTTTTTTAATTTATGGTCTATAATATGTCGTACAATGAAGAGAATCAACAATTCAATTAGTCTCGTAAAAAAAAAGGTTCAGACTACTGTTATAAATTTATTGTTCATGGTTATATATAATAATTACCAAGTGCATAATTATGAGTCAATAGTTCATGAAGATTTTTAGTATTGATTTATTTTTTTAAACCTATTTCATGATCACAACTTTCAATATTTTTTTTTAAGTTTTAACAGAAAGGCTATTTAAATAATTCATCAAATTCATAACATTTCTTTAAATGACAATTGAAGATGCACATGTCTACCTTAATTAGGTTTCAAATAACTTTCATCAAATACTTTAAAATACAATATTTGACTTGCATACATTTAAATTAAGACAAACAGAAAAATCTAATCTAATAGATAAATATCATCTTTGAATAACCAAGTCCTTGAAATCTATTCAATAAAATCATTGTACTACTTAATAAGTACCTTGAACACTAATCATTATATAAAAAATGATACACACATCACATACAAAACTTTTTCAACTGTTTTTTTATTGAAGAAAAGTATTTCAAAACAAATTAAAAAAATATATTATTTATATAATGTTAAGATTATCATTAATATTTGCATACTCTTAGGACCAGTCAATTGGTCCGGTCTCCCACTATGGATATTGCTGCTTCGAATGGCTATGTTTGATCGATGAGTAACTGAAGTAAAATAAATAATAGATGTCCTCATCCAACACTGTTCCCGCGTCTTATGGAAGTACTCCGAACTGCTTTCATTCTTTAAACGTGTATCCACAATGAGGAAAAGACATGTAGGCTGAATACATCATAGTACCTAAGCACATAATCATATATAAAAAATTAAAAATGAACACTGTTAATGTGGGATGTGAAGGCAATACTGATAAAAATCAGTGCTGACACTATTTGGTGGTATGGGCGAGTGATGAATACGTTGTATAAGTTCGCCCCACCCAACCAATATAAATTTAAGGTTATGTAAATTACTAAATTATGATTCAAATATCATATGTCGAAGGTTTCGACAAAATCTCATCAACGAGACATCGGTATTAGTGTAGGTATATCATAATTAATTCATGGTTTGTAAACTTAAGAAAAAATACAAAATGGCCGACTTACAAGTTTCCTATACGCGTGACAAATATAAATGTTAATTATTAAATTGTATAACTTATTTCGTAGACTACACATAACACAAATAAGTTAACATGTTACTCTACACGAACACCACGTTATATAAGATATGAGTGAAGTGCACATGGCACCACTAAATAAAGATTACTCCAATTAAATAGTAAACAGACCTATAAACCAAGTTGATTTATACTTTCATAGGTCTATGAAAATAATAATTTGTAAGTTTGGGCAATTGTTAGTTAACGCTTGTATGTTTAATATAAATTAAATATGAGATTGATGAATTGTGTCAATTTATCTCACCTATGACGCATTGTACTCGTAGAGTGATCATCACTTCTTTTGCGCAGATATCACTTCATAAAAACGTCCGTAGAATCGCGTACTTCCACAAACCGCGGGAACACCGCTGTGACAACAACGTCCATGATCCATTTTATGTTACGCACAGTCAAACGTGACACACGATGCGGCAGTATTCATAGCGGGTGATCGGTCCGTTCGACGTGATCGATAAGTAAAAATCCACGTGGACAACGGATCTGTCATGGCGGCGCTCTGACGACCAGTGTGCTTGTTTGAAATAATTGTTCTCTGATCTACATCTTTTTCTTATGGATAGCGGTCTATGGTATGATACTTCATGAAAAATTAGATAGGTTACCACGGACAAAGATAGAAGTCTACCCTAGTCCGTGGTAAGCCACCATTGTGGCACCTAGGCGGCTAGGCCGCTAGGCGTGACAGCGATATACGACTACGTAGATCAACTGTCACAAATAAAATGGCGTTGTAGTCGTTGTACACGACGTTTGACCACGTAGACTCGTAGTTCGCAGGAGCGCCAGGAGCATTCAAATTAGTACGCATGCGTAGTATTAAACAATAAAATTCGAATACCAAGTAAGGTAACTGTGTAGGTAAATTAGGTTACTGGCACTGTATTCTATTTTGTTTTCATTATAAAATCCAGCAAAAGTAGTAAATTCAAATTTGTACAATGTTAGCCCATTATATTTTAGTTTAGTTAATATTAATTACTAAATACTAATTAATGATTAGTATAGTTATAAATTTATAATTTATAAATAATAATTTAGCTCATAGACATTAGATATTATGCTATACAATTTTATAAATTTGACGAATATTTTCTGTGTTTATTTATTTTAAAATGTTTAATATATTTAAATGTCAAAATTATACAGGAAAAGTGGTGTGTTAATTTAAAAAATTATTTTTTTTTATTTATTTTTGACGGCAGTAATTAAACTTATTATTGAGAAGAAAGTAATTGCAATGTTTATGTGTTATATTGGATGGTGAATCATTGTATAAGAAAATGTTTCTGAACGTAGACAATATAACAAAGTATATTTCATAATTTATTTATATTGCTATTGCTATTAAAGTAATGTATTTGATAAGAATAAAAAAAATTGCATTGCGTATAAAATATATTAATATAGGTACGTTAAAAGTTTCGAGTATCCATAACTAAAAATTTTAAATTACAACAAATAAAATAAAATAAAATTGTTAGTTATTGTTTAAATATCTAATTTTGTCCAAATTCAAACTTAAATATTTATATTTAAATTCTCCACGACAAACTTATAAATCATAAAAATCTTTTTATTTCTCCAATATCCTTACGACCTCACTAACCATTCTTGGAAATTCTACTAGAAGTTTATGAAGAAATTGGTCAAAAAGACTTTAATTAAATAAATACATCACTTTTAAAAAGTAAATAAATATTATAGGTTGCAAAGTTTTCCTAATTTTAACGAATTTCATAAAAATTTTAATTTTAACACCTACAGCATTGTAGGTTATGTAACTATATGTATTTTTTTATTCTTTTTTATTGGTGAATGTACAACTTGTACCTCATATTCAATTTTCAAATATTTTTACCTAGGAAAATTTTTTTATAAACATTTACATAGGTATAAAAAAATTAAATTATAATATATAAAAAATATTTATAAATAATTCAAAAAAAGTTTATGTTTTTAATAATAATAAATAATTACACTATATTATGTAATATATGTGTAGGAAATGTTCACATATAAACATTCGGTGATAAATTTCGACTATCTGAACGCCTACAGTTTTTCGTATTCATTATTGAGTTACATCAAAAAAACCAAAATCAATCATTTTTTATTAAATATTACCTACGGATTTTTGGTTTTGACCTCTTTGAGAATATTTTTTTTTTTTAATTTAAATATATTCCATTTGCTTACACAATAAAAACAAAAAGTATACCATTTTTTAACAGAACCTCGGAAAACACATACTGCTTATAAAATATATTTTTCTTATTTTATGAGGTCTCTAGACTATTTTTTTATAATTTATTTTTAGTTGATGGGGAGTTTATTGCAATGTTATAGAGAACACGTTTTAATGAAAAAGTTTATATGGTTAATTTATTTTGAGTGGAAATTTTTTTAGTGACTTTAATCAAACTGATTTAAGTCGTTTTGGAAGGCTGAATTTGTATTTATACCTTGGAGTACTGCCGTACAGGTGATAACTAATAAGTCTTGGAGTAATTTACTAAAAGGCTTATGAATAGAAAGAATGTCTTTGGGGTTAGTTGGGCCTTAAATTTTGATATTGTATGACATACTGGCTTGATGATTGTTTTGTATTGCAGTAATTTGTTATTAAGACTTTATGTTAGATTTAAATTGTTCAAGTTTTTGCTTGGTGTGATTAGACTAGGTTAATATTTTATTCACTGTATTTGGTTAACTGATGAGATGGAATTGGTTTTTTGTATTGAATTTTAGGGGTTGAGGTATTTCATTTTGTTTAGGAAAAAGTTTGCCTGATCAGATTTTTCGTCGAGTATAAACTAAATTTATTTTTCTATTCCAAAACTAATTTCAAAGGTGTATACAAAAGCATTTTTTCATTTATATATATTATATATACATAAACACACAAAAAAATCACACTTAATTGTTATTATAATATAACCAATATACATATATAATATTCATTATTCCAGTCAGAATCTAAAATGTGTAATGAGATTTAGGAGGAAAAAAAGGTTTAAAAAAACTACGATAAAAAAGTTCAATGTTTATTATTGAATTTTGATTCTCAGCGCAATAATATATTTTAACTCGGCATTTTAAAACTTTTATTTGATAGTTTGTAAATCTTAAACCTTGTATTAAATTTTTAAATCATAAGTATAAATGTTAAACGTTTAATGCATTTTAATATAGGTTAAGGGTATGGTTAGATATTTTATTATAATATTTATTCTGTGATTTAAAGTTACAAAATAACTAGTGCTTAAACCTTAATGAGTTACAGAAATGTCCAAAATTATAAATACTATATTATGATATAAGATATAAGTATAGAATTTTTATAGTTTTTATTTTATTTCTCTAGCATAATAATCAATCCTTATAGTGATAACCTGGTGTCAAACTTGATTAATTCGCAGAATATTTTAAAATGAAAATAGTTGATTTATAGGCCATAATTAAATTTTATTAGGTTATTCAAAATATATCTTGTAAGTTTTTATGCATCACTGTTGGTATCATAGCTTAATTAACTCATGGTCCGAACCATAACCATTTGTGTAATTGTTGGTCCCGCATTCTCGGGTATTCGTATCAATTATCAATACATTCATCTCGATTCCCTTATCAATCGGAAATTAAGAAAATATAAAATAATAACAAAACGCCATTTTTTTTCATTTTTTAACAATAAACTAAAATTGAAAAAAAACATCCAGCGCTATCTCAATCACATAATTTATAGCGTTCTGCCCAAAAGTCTAGGTCGTATCTTTGCGCTCAAGAATCGTAATCGGTATACCATGAGTATGTAGATAGTGCGGCGGATACGCGGTCACATCGATAACGAGAACACTGGGCGTCGAGCGGAATCGTCATCGTTGCGGTTGTCTTGCATAGTACTCGGCGTCCGGTTTTGCGCGCACTGCGATCGAACCGGAAGCCCTGTAGTACGTGTGGTAAAAATTTCACGACACGAACGATCAGATTGGCAGTAAATCATAAAATTTTAAGCGATTCGCTTTGTTTTTCCAAATTGAGAGAAACTAGATTTAAGAATCTCGAGAAAATATTAATTATAATATTGACATGTCTGTGATTGACGGCAGTGGTTACGCAGACGACCAACAACATCAGCAGCAGCTCCAGCAGCAGCAGCAGCAGCAGCAGCAGCAGCAGCACCAACAGCAGCAGCAACAGCGACATCAACAACAGCATCGTCGACATCAACAACATCACCACCACCACCATCAACAACAACAACAAACAACAACAACGACTGCAAGCGGTGGTGGTTACGACGGCGGACGAACGCGGTGGCGGTGGTGGCCGGCAGCGTCATTCGGAAAATGTCGCCGAACAGACGGACATGGCCGAGACTGGTACGAGGGCCACCGACGTCGTAGTCGTCACCACCGCCGACGCGGTGAAAGAAAACCGCAACGGACCGCCGCCGTCGTCGTCGTCGTCGTCGGACGTCTCCGTATCCGCCGCTACGTACGCCACGGCCGCAGCCGAACACGTCGCCTCGTCTCAAGTGCAAGTGTCCTCCATACCCGTCGGGCAGCTCATTAACGTGTCGGCCGCTGGCACGTTCAATGTTATTACTGCTGACTCGTTGCAGGTAGGTGAACGATACCGTCGGTGATGACGGACTCTTTGACGTCCCGTCGACAACGTTTTGGATTTCCTATAGTTTTTACTTCGTTAGGAGTGTTAGGACATGACATGGTCGTTGTACGATGTTATTCCCGCTCGGTTATAATTTATTGCAAAATGTTTTTGGGTATTCAGTGACGACGTGAAATTATTTTGTACAATACAACAAATAATTATTTGACTTACCAACCTGCCGCCGTTTTATTGGTACAAAAGACCCCATTTTAATATATTATGTTACATTGTTATTTTTAAATTAATTTAATCAATTAAATAGTTTTTACTAAAACATTTAAGCTTAAGTCAATAGAACTTACCTCAAGCACTTATCTATTTCTTATCTAATAGCCATCCAGGATTCACTACTTAAAATAAGACTAGGTCTTCAGACTTATATAATTGCATATCAATTATCATTCATGATACTATTTTGGCTTGTACCAAAATGTATAACTATAAAATTTGCTAACACTGATCATTGTACAGGTTTTCGATTGCATTCAAAGTATTTAACATACATAAGTTTTATCTACCTAAGTTTTTAGTATTATGTACTATTGAGTACTAATGTAGCTATCAATACTATTATGGAACAGAATATTTTAGAATCTACCTTTATTACCAATTAATAAAATAAACATGTTTTGTATAAAAGTATTAATTACCTACTACAAAATTACTTTTTTATGATAAATTTATTAAAATTAGGTAGTTAGGAATCAATCTTAATTTAGAAAATTTTTTATTAAAATATTCGTGTACTGTATAAGTATAAGTTTGTTAATAATTTTTTTATCTTTGCTGAACTATAAATGATTGTAGTAGGTAGTAAAATTTTATTAACCATGACTTAAGTTATTACAGTTGTATTTTTGATTACAGCTTTCGGAATCAAATGATTTCAAACCTCTCTTGTGTGTAGATAACAGTTGTTTAAATTGTGATACACGCACTCAAGTTGATGGTGATACCTGGCGAACAGTAGTTCGAGCTGAAGTAAATAAAAATTGCTTGGTATTCACTACTAACAATTTATCAATATAATTGTATCTATTTAGGATGGCACTTTCAAAACTGCTCATATTGTACTTAGACCAGATAACTCGACCACTAATAATGTTCATGAAGAAGAGACTGATCAAGGAGTATCATCTCCAAATACAGCACCTTGTTATTCATATACTGAAGCTGCCAGGTTGCCAGTATTACCAGTTCGGTGCAAAGTAATTATATATTTTAATATATTTATGTACATGAATACTAGTGTAATTGTCCTAACTTTTCATCATGTCTGTAGACCACTAATGCTGAACTGCATAAGAAAAAATTTGGTTCTGGTTGCCGAGGCAAGTGTATTAAGTTTGGAAACCAATGGTACACACCTAGTGAGTTTGAAGCCCTTTGTGGCAGAGCTTCTAGTAAAGACTGGAAAAGAAGTATACGATTTGGTGGTCGAAGTTTGCAAACATTGATATATGATGGAGTCTTACTACCACACGCTATGAGTTGTACATGTGCAGCTTGTTGTGATGATGAATCTGCTGTAAATCCAATATTATTATTAATTATTGTCATTTAAAAAAAATGTTATGATGTTAATTTGTGGTTTTAGACTGGCCCTGTACGACTATTCACACCATACAAAAGAATACGTACAAAAAAACATTCTTCTAGTCATTCGAAAAAGAAAAAGATTGAAGACGGTACTGCTATTAGTAATGATGAAGATAGTTGTGATAGCAGTGTAGGTATATCATTAGACAATGGTGATATAGATATTAAAGATGAAGAACCCATACTTCTACAGACAGGCGATATTTCTCAAGCTGAAATTGTACAATCAAATGATTCAATTGAAGATATGTTTAAAAAGTTAGAAAATGTAAGTTTATATTTAGTTTTTCTTTAATCAATTCATGATTAAAGGAACAGACTACTATTCAAATAAATATTCTTGTTAAGTAAAAATATCAAATTACTAATATTAATAACAATCATTATTTGCTTGTGAATCTAATAATTTATTAATTGGGAATTTTAAAATTTCTATTATTTTTTATTATAAACAACTTGTATTTCTTTAAAATGTTGAGTACAAAACATATAGGTTTATAAATTTATGGAGCTATAAAAATGTCAGTTATTGTGTTATTATATATATATATAATTTACTGAATTTATTTAGTAGTAAACAATTTAAAATAACCATCTCTAAAAAATATTTGAATGTAAAAAAAAAAAAAAATGAAAATTTTTCTCCCATTTTATTATCATCAATTTCTCTTTTTCTTCTATACATTAAATTATCTAATTAAGATATAACTTTTGTCAAATATCTATTAAAATATTATTTTGAATTATTTACCTTATGAGAATTATGTTTTGATAAATGTGTGTATATATTATTTTAGTGCTTTTATTACATTTATGAAACATTAAAATTTTTCAAATAAATTATGTACTAATTTATAATTATTATTAATATTAATAATTCATTTTAAATTAAGATGTCTTCAAGAATGATAAAAATGGTTCATCATTTTCGTAACTCTATGCGTGTTGCCAAGTACAAATGGAGTACAGAAAAACAGGAGTTGTTAGCGGAACTTAAGAGAGCCAAAGAAAATTCTATTGAAAATAGGTAATATAATTATAGTTTGTCCTGTTAATTTTATAAATTAGTGTTAATTTATTTCTGATAGGAATGATTTTGATGTGGAAACAATTTCAAGTGTGGCAGCAGGATTACAACCTAGTACTGATGATATACCAGATGTTAAAAAGGTAGTATGCATATTTGATTATATAATATTCTTTGCTATACAATTTTTTGTTTTTCCGCAGTGTGCCAATTGCAATAGAGATGCATTTGCTGAGTGTTCATTGTGTCGACGTACACCATATTGTTCTACATTTTGTCAAAGTAAAGATTGGAACAATCATCAAGTGGAGTGTGACAATTCACAGGGGAGCATTATGCTCATTGTACAAACTCAAGAATAAAATATATTTTAGATTTTTCAAGTTATTTCTAATCTGTTTTTATAATTCCTAATATATATTTTTTTTTTTTATAATGAGTAATATAGTATAGTTTAGTAATTTTAACCTTCATTTTAGAGTGAAATGTTTGTTAAAGATAAGTGAATGTTTAAGTTTATTAACAAAATTGTTTTATGTTTAAATTACAAATGTACCTATTCATATTTTTTATTTTAAAATTTATGTAAATATAAAATGAAGCAGAATGATTATTACACAAACATTATTTTGTAATTAATGACTGATAATATAAATCTTGAATATAATATGCTTTAATTTGAAATTATGAACCTATATTAATATTTTTTTTCATAATTTTAATACTCAAAATAAAGAAAGTATTGTTAAGGAATAAAAAGAAAAAAAACAGTTAACCATTAATTTTTAGGAAACTTAGATGCAAGTAACTATTTTAAGGTTAAGAGGATACCTATGGTTGTTTTACAGCTAAAACTTTCTATGTATGCATGAAATTCTCTCATACTATTTTTTTTTTTTTTGGTAAAACTCGGTCTTATTAATAAAAAATATTTCTTACAGAACGTAATCATTCAAAAGATCAACAATACCAATCTAATTTTTGTCATAGTTTTCAAGATAAATAAACACCCTCTAAATTAAATTTAAAAATTTAAATTTTGTAGGTACCTAAATAAAATAAATTAAATATTATAAAATTTCACAGTTACATTTTAAATTTCTATTTTATTATAATTTACAAGCTAATTTTGGAGAACAATAGTTTCTTTGATGATATAAATAAATGTGAACAAAAGTATACATCAATATTCCATACAATTAATAAAAATAAAATGATTTTAATTAAAAGAATAGTATTATTGCCTAAGTCCCAAACTACACTCACATCTTTGACGTTTATGAATGTCAGGTATGAATCAAACCAAATCCTTTATTTCCTGATTAATAATCATTTCTTGTTGGTAAATGTTTTTTTTAGTAATAATTATACCTTATTATATATTAGATACAATTGAACTAAATCAATATTAAATAAATAAATAGGTAATTTAACTAGGCATATTAAAAAATTGAATAATTGAATTGTATTGCAATTTTATAGTCGGTTTTTATAGTCAACGATACTTATATTTATTTTTTGAGATTTGTGTCAATTAGCTAAAATTAACTATCCAACTTTAAATGCAATGACAATGATCTGATTAACTCATAACGATATCATTATTGTTTTATCTAACCAATTTTATTAGTATAATAATTATGTATTATAAAAAAAATATATTAAATACTAAACTATGATAATATAATATATAAGACTGTCATATAATGTAATTAATAAAGTTAAAATTTTTTTGGAATTTTTAAAAATTAAATTTTATATATTTAATACATTTTTTTGCATAATTTTGATTTTTAAATGCATATATAAGTTAGAATGATTATTGAATTTTAGTCGTAGAAAAAATTGAATTTTCAACTTAAGAGAAGAATTTACATTTTAATCAGAGGGAAAGTGAGTCAAAATTCACTAGTAAATAATTTCCTTAAGTATCCAATCAAATAATCAGGAAACCAGTTTTTACTGTTAATTCAAAAATAAATAATTGGAGACTTAAATTTTTCCTCAAATATTTATGTTGGGATGAATTTCTAAGTATAGTAATAATTTAAAAATATTTTAGCTCTTTTAAGATATTTGTAATTTTTAATTTGTGTATAAAATTTTTGTTTGAGAGAAAAAAAAGCTTGTAATTAAAAAGAGTTTCTTAAATTATAAGGCAATTGAAAAATATCAAAAATATGTAGACATAAATGCATATTAGTAACTTTAAGTTGTCTATACTCTATAGGCATTATAAGTCTTAGATTTTATCTATAAATGTTAATAAAATGTATGATGCTTAATTAAAAAGCTTGAAAATGTAATACAAAATTATCTTACAACAACCATTTAAGTTTAAAATTTAATAAAACTATTGATATTTTAAAATTATATTGACATATTCATTAGTTACATATTTGATGACAAGGTACACTCGACATCTAATATAAAGCAGAACACCCATTATTTAAAAAAAATTATTATTTGGTAAAGAAACGTATATGATTTTTTTTTTAAATTTTTAAAAAATAAAAAATTTTATTATCAAGGATATTGTATGTTAATACCATTACATTACACATAAGATGATCAGATTTTAAGTAGAAATTATCAACATTTTTTTCAATCGAATAATATTGTAAAATTCACACAAATTATGGCAAGATAAATTTTATGAATTTATTATATTTCTTTTCCTTGACGACTTCGATAACTATTTTTTTCACCATCTATGTCAGTGGTTCTCAACTGGGGTGACAAAAATTACTTGAGGAAAATAAAAATAAAAGAGAAGTTTTTCAAATAAAACATTGGAGAAATCATAAGGGTTAAATATCATATAAATTTTTTAAATTTTAGACAATTTATTATTATTAAACAATATTCATACTTTTTGTTTAATGTTTTGATGTTAGGGTGATGCAGTATTGGATAATCACGAACAAGGGTGACATAAATCCAAAAGGTTGAGAACCACTGATCTATGTTATTGGGCTTTGGCCAAGACTACATTTCAACATATATTTTATTTTGGTTTAAGAGCTTAGGTGAATTTTATTTTTAAATTTATTCTCACATTCTCAGCGTATAGTTTTGTCTTAACATGGATCATCCGTTTTCATGGTTAAATAATATATTTATAAGGTAGAACTCTAAAAACAACATGTCATAATTATAATTTTTGATATGGAAAATAAATATTTTTCTCTTATCTTTACTCGATTAATTCTGAAAAATAAGTCATGTGTAGTTGTTATTGCTTAAATTTAAATAGAAAATATATAAATAATAAATATTATACAGAGAATGTACTCATCAGTTGGCTTATTTATAAAAAAATAACAATATAATTATACTAAAATAATTATGTATTAAAAGTCAAGAGTCGACCTTTTCCCATTTCATTTATTAGTCATTTACTCAATTCAATAACATAGTTTTGAGCAAATAAATAGTAATCAATGTAAGAATTTAATAAAATGTTTTTAATATTCCATTTGCACAGTACGTATACCTCCAGAAATGACGACAGAGTTAATAATTGATTAGGCATTGTTTAAAGAACTATCAACTAAATGAAATAATAATAAAATCATGTTGAAAGCAGCTCTAAATATTTTATGATAATCAATTTATATAATATATAAGAATAATAATTAAGATAATAAATGTATTAATAATAAATGTTTGGCAATTTTTTATTTTCTTGAATCGTAAATAATTCAATAAATTAATATAATATATTGCGCGGGATTTTGTTAAGATTTCAAAATCTGTAAAAAAAGAAAAAAATGTATTTTATTAATGACAATATTTATTTAGGTATTCAGATAAATAATAATTCAATACAAACCAAAATTGAAATAAGTGTCTGCCATTTCTATTTTTTTCTTGCGCAAGTATCACATGGAGGTAAAGGCACATTTATATAAGGTTGTTAAACAACCATAGATTGGAGTCAAACGCTTGTCTCATATTAAAACCTGGCGGCGGCGGTGGTGTTGTATATAAATTACAATGTGGGTTTGCTGTAACTATTGCTGGATCTATTGATGACCAATCTAAATCTGAATAATATAAGTTTGTTATATACAGCATATGTAATATATTCATTTAGTTCATACTTTGTCGATACTCACTATGAGAAGATGATTGACGTAATTGTTGTTGTAATGCAAATGGATTATTCTGTGGCAATTTATTAGTGTTACCTGCATGTAAAATATTAAGTCAAGTATTGAATTTTTTGGACATATTTTTTTTTAACTAAATATTACTTATAGATATATTTTATTTTTTATTTACACCAATAATCTTAATATTATTAACCAAGGGGCTCAACTCTATAAACACTCCCATACGATAAATTATTATATTAAAAATAATTAGTTTATTTTCAAGTCCTTTATTGAAGTAACTTAAAGTAATATTAAAATGCTTGATTCTTAAAATGTGAAATATATTGAATTAAAAATTACCTGTGTTACGAGGAATACTGATACCATAGGAATTGACTTGATTTGGAGCCGATGAAAATCCAGGAGGCGGTAAACAAGTTCTTGTGGGAGCTGTATTATTTATATGAAGATTATCCATTAATTTTGTGCAATAAGGAAACCTTAAAAAAAATAATAAAAAAAATGGTATCATTATAAAATATAAGATAATAGTCGATGATTTTTTAGTAGTGCATTATTAATTTTAAATGTACCCGGAATTTTGAAGTCTAGATTGATACATATTAATATGATTTTGTTGTTCCATATATTCTGAAAGTGCACGTTGTGTTACCGAAACCGAATCAAATATATCATCATCTGATGGTAAATTTAACTGCAAGACATATACAATTCATGAATATATATTTTTTAAATTAATTATGTACATCAAGCATAATATATATTTTACCATTGTTCTATTTATATCTGAAGATGGATAATTATTCCGAGAATTATTACTATTATTTGAGAAACCAAATGCTGCTTGCCAATCTTCAGATGTTTGTACTTGGGGTAGGACATCTGGAATTGGAGGTAAAATTGCACTGACTGGGGGACTCCAATCGGGTTCACTGTTTAATACTGTACATAATGGATACAAAAAATTAATATTATGATAATAAAATAATAATAAAATATAATCTTACCAGGACTGGTTTTACCATTCGTTAATTTAGAGAAATTTGAAGAGAAAAATGAATTATTGTTATCTTGTTCAAATATTGAAGCTGGCTTTTGTGGATTTTCAAATAATGAATCTAAACAAAGTAAAATCATAAGGTATTACAGTAAAATAAAACAAAATTAAAAACAATGAAAATAAAAACCAACAATGTAATAAATCTAAAATTAGATATTATGGGAGAAGAGTGAGAGAGAAAAGAGAAATCAACAGTCCTATTTGTTACTAGGGTTTAAGGTCTTACTATGTTTTCATAAAAACTTTACTGTTTATAAAAAAAAACTATACTATTATTTTTTGTTTTATTATATTTTTATATATCATATTTGAGCAAACTTTTCATGCCAGAGAAAAAATTGTGATTTTAAAATAAAAAAGTTAAATTTTAATGTATAATTTGCATCTA